AGTGGTGTTGACGAGGCGGAGATTGACGATGTTGGAGATAAAACAACGTGTAAAGGAAAGGATAGTATTGATTCAGGCGGAGTAATAGATGTTGGACGAATTGATACTGAATTTGATAATCAAGAATTATATTCCGGCAATGAATTNTAATATATAATAATAATAATAATTTATTGCCATAAGTTTTACATTTTGTAAACATTAGCATTGTCAGAGAAAAAATAAAGATTATACGAAATAAAGATTATACGAAATGGGCGTTGTATAGGGTTAGTCGTGTTAAATAAAGTTTCAACTCATATTTAAAACGATGCGTTGGCATTATTTTTTTAAGTGACAGTGGTAGCATATTATATGCTTTAATGGCGGATTAATAAGGTCCTTTCTCAAATGATGCAGTTCTATGTAGAGGAATTCTCAAATCTTTGTTGGTACGAGTCAGCATTGCGTCATATGTTTCAGCGTTAGTAGTAAACAAAGAGGGATTTTTTTTTACAAACATTACTAGGGAGTATACATATAATGCAGGAACAGTCATTATGCCCAATGCAGTAAAATGTGTTCTAGCAGATGATAGTGGTTTTGCGCCAGAAATAGCTCTTATTATCTGCTTTTGAGCGATAAATATTTGCTGAGAGTGACTACTAGAGCCCCAGAACATAATGCCATACAATATGTGGCACTGAACGTACGAAAAATAAAACATTTTAATACCATTTATAGAGATTTGAGTCCTAAGACGCCTTATAAGGTAACAGATTGAACTTAGTTTGCGCCTAAGCTGATTGCAGTACGCTGACCATTTCAGTTGAGAATCTAATGTAACTCCAAGAAACTTTGTTTCATTGCTTTGTGGTACCGTTTTGTCACCATTGCGCACATACAATGACCACGCATTATTTTTACCATACACCGATAATACCGTCTTTTTGTGATTTAATTCTAAGGAATTATTCCTACACCATTGGTCCATTTTATAGACAATATGAGATGCTCGGGAGGATAGTTGGCAAACATTGGGCGCCGATATTATACATGAAGTGTCATCAGCAAATTGATAGACTGACGTTACGGGGAGTGAATGACTAAGATCATTCGTATAGAGTACGAATAGAATGGGACCGAGTATCGACCCTTGGGGTACTCCATGGTTAATGGTCAACGGTGATGAGTAAGCAGTTTGTAAATTACTGTCAACAGTATGCGTAAAACACACTCTTAAAGTTCTGTTTTCTAAATAGGATTTAATTAATTTAAGTCCATTTCCTCTAAAACCGTATCTTTCTAATTTTGATAACAGTACACCGTGGTTCAGAGTATCGAACGCCTTACATAAGTCGAAATAAATGGCCGCGACACATTGACGTCTGTCTAATTCATTTAATATATGAGATATGGAATGAAAAATTGCGTTATGAGTTGTGGAGTTCGGTATAAATCCAAATTGTGACGCAGAAATGATCTTATTCCTTATCAGAAATTTCAGCATTCTTTCAAATATTACCTTTTCAAATATTTTTGAAAATACAGAAGGAACTGACAATAAACGATAGTTGTTGATGTCACCCATGTTTCCTTTTTTGTGTAGCGGAATAGTTTTTGAACTACTTTTTAGCATCGTGGGAAATTCAGCTGTAGAGAGGCATACATTTATCAATTCACTTAAAGGTGCAGATATGTAAGGGGCTGCCGCTTTTACAATTTTGGTGGGAATTTCATCTAAACCTGTTGATTGTTTATTTGGAAGGCAGGTAATTACATTAAGAATTTCACGTGGGGTAGTTGGATAGAAGTAAATAGTTTCATTCGTGGACACAATGTCTTTCACGGTGTGAGTCTGAATATGCGCAGGAATACGTAGTTCTGCAAATTTATTAGCAAACGCATTGACTATCGTTTGGGGATCAGTAATTAAAGTTTGACCAATTTGAAGTTCTATTTGATTGTGATTATTGGATTTTCCTATGATGCCATTAATTATGTTCCAAGCTACTTTAGATTTATTTTTATTGGCCATAGCGATCTGTGATTCGTTTACAGAGATTTTATAATTATTTATGAATGCACAGTATTTCTTTTTTTCTGAAAGATATTTTTGTTTAACTAGTTCAATATGCGTTGTTTTATACAGGCGATAGAGATCTTTAATGTAATTAGTCCACGGTGTTAAATTATTTGGCATCCAGTTATTTGTACGAAGTTTAATAAGTCTTCTTTTTTTTGGAAATGAAAGGTCAAAATGGTAATAAAATATATTATAGAATGCTTCATACTTAGCATTAACACAATTACTGCCTAGCATGTCCTTCCAGTTCTCAGTAGATATTTTAGATAAGAATAAAGTCACATTGTCTGACGTGTAAAGGCGCTTACAAATATAGGTATTATTGTTTGACACTGATGCTTTTAATTCCATTACTTGAGCATAATGATCGGATAAGGTACAGTCTATAACATGACAGCTTAGTATATCATTATGAGAAATATTAGTAAACATGTGATCAATACAAGTGGACGTTTCAGCTGCGACTCGAGTTGGTTGGTTGACATACGATTGCATTCCATAAGAATTGAAAATTTCAAATAACCTCATGGTTTGAGAATTTTCTACACATGTATTGATATTCCAATCACCACACGCATTCTCATTAGTTCAGAAATTTTGTAAGCTTCGAACAAGACAGAATTAACAATATTAAAAAATAAGTCAAAATTGGCTTTAATGTTAGTTGGTGATCTGTAAAAACATATTAGTACATATTGATCAGTTGTCCCGCAAATTTTGATAACACAATATTCACAAATTTGTTCTACAGGAGCAGTTTTAAGTTTAACCTCAGTGCACTGGAGATTTTGGCGGCAGTAGATAGCAACTCCACCACCTTTCAGTGATGTACGTAGATACTTACTCAGTAAGCGATAATTAGATAGTGCAATGCTAGGAAATTCGGCATTACACCCATATTCAGTGAAGCATACCACAGATGGTTGGAGGCCATTAATGTAGACATCAACAGCGTTGATCTTGTTGGAAATATATTGGATGTTGACATGGAATAATTTAAGTGTTGGGAGGACGGATTTTTCAGCATCCACTATCCTGGTAGTATGAGATACAGCGAAACTTAGGTTAGTTGGCGAGGGGTCCGATTTATTCAAAAAAAAGTATTCACACATGTTCCAGTAGGCCAAGTCGCTGGTAACAAAAACTGATCTTTGAGCTCTGGCAAAATAGAGATTTTAAAGGAAGAGTATGTGTCAGGATGCTTTGATGTTAATTTTTCAACTTGTGCTGAGTGTATACCCTTGTTTTTAAGGTGATGAGTAACTTGTTCAGCATTAGTAGTTGGATCTAGGCGTGACACATGATAATTCAATCTTTTAACAATTCCTTTAATGGAACAATTTGTATCACAGGATCCAGTAGCTAAACTGGTCATTTTTCTTCGCCTACCTTGTTGTCTCCATTCTTGCTTTTCTTCTGCTATAGGATTTGGGTCTGATTTGGAATCAGGAACATTTTCCTTAACAGTTAAATTTCGAACGTCGCTGTTAATTTTGAGAATCTTATTCATGATCCCTGTTTGAATGTTAATATTTTCATTTAGCGTTGTCGATGATTGCGACGATTTTTGTATTGGCGTTGGAACTTTATCTTTATTTTCATTACACGGTTGAGGTTGAATAACTTGAGCCGTACTTTTCACCATATTGGCAAACGTACGTGTTTTCTTATCATTGTTGTGATTAGTATTATCATGAGACTGAGAACTTTCCAGTTGTTTTAGAATGAGGGAATTTTGATACTTAATTAGATCTAATTCCGCTCTTAATGGTAAAACAATTTTAGCATTAAATGCTTGTAAAGCTGAATTTACCGCATTAGTTATCAATTGGTTAATATCATGTTGGCAAGGTAAATCATTCAAAGACTCGGCATTGTAAGCGTTCGATTCCGGCAGGCTTACTTTTACTTCATTATTCAAATGGACTTCACACTTCTTACAACTCCAAGGGTTGTTTGAGGCATTTTGTTGAAGTTTGACGTACTTCTCAGTAGAGATGTTAACACATTTGATATGAAACAGAAAACCACAGGTTTTACATGCGATTGAATCATCATATCTGCTAATCGCACCAGCACATTCACCGCAAACACTAGCAGGCATGTTGCCTGTGCTCACGTACAACTGCTTTTTTTAATTTAACTATTAAATATGAAATTTTATAAGTAACACTTTAAAAACACGTCCGCACACTTCAAGGAACGAACAATCAAATGATGGCTCGATGAAAAGAGAATTAAAAAATCTATCAAATAATCTAAAAATGCCATATGGCGCCTATTTAACTTTAGAAAGTTGGTAAATGTTCCTCAAAAATAGCCATCTTGAATTTTTTTTTGACATCAATTCTAAATTAAACGTATCAAAGACAGTAACTTTTATATAAAACTTTTTTTTATCCCTCTTATACTTTCGATGATATAAGACATTCAAGGAAATGCCCAATTTTAGTTTTTTTGAATTTACGTCGAACCTATGCGACATTTTGAATTTCCAAAAGGAAATTTTAAATAAGCATCTAAAACTGCAAGACATTGCCCATTTAACCAATTCTCTATCCTTAATAATAACAAAGTTACCCATGCAATCCCACCCGATCTGGGACACACTGTATATTCAAACTCACAAAACTTCCATGACAAATAACCCAGACGAGAGTAACTAAGTTCTCCAATAACTACACACACGACACACTTCCATTGCGATCGTTTACAACAAAGTTCTAACAAAAATTAATTCGCGCAATACTGAGCCCATAACCTGATGAGGTCTGTGGTTAAATGTATAAAGAAGGCTTGCACGAATTGAAAGGTAAACAGTTGATAGTGTTAAAAAGAACTGTAATCTAACATGACATTTTTCAATAGGTATCTGATTTTTCTATCACTCTCATAGCAACACATACATTCGAAATCGTTAAGGGCTGGTTATTTGATTTTTCCATTAACCAAATATACCTACCTGCACAAATGAAATCCCAAACTCCAATAAGGGGGCATGAAAGGTTTGCCGATTATTTCCAAATATTGAATCACAACATCCTTAGGTGTCGGGCCCATAAAAAAGTAGAAATCTAATACTCCCCCAATTGTTCTAAATGTTATCGCAGGTGATGGCTGTAGAATAACATCTAAAACAGTCATTTATATTGAGGGGCTACATCATTGGCGCATACCCATTGCATTGCTGTTTAACAAGAAAACACCATGACTTTTACCAGAATTCTCCATCATCATATAGAATGGATGGCTGCCGTACAAATTCATCTAAAATACAACTTTTAATAAGTGTTGTTTGTAAATTCGAAAGTACATTCTCAGTAGGTATGCCATCATGCGTAAACATTGTAAATTGCTGCCAGTGTGTCGACAGCAAAAGTGGTGAACGATGTTCTCCTAGTCCGTAAATGTAATTCGAGGGCAATTTCGAAGACAACTGTAAAAACTGATCACTGAAGACCATATTTCCCAGATTAAATGTATCGAAACTGCAAACACAACAATTAGCTTAATTGTCTCAACCGAGAGTGCAGTACATAGGCGTGCGCTCTCCTTTTCGCATAATTCGGAATCCCCCATTTTCCTCGTTCAGTTGGAGATTGTAGGATAAATTGGAGGCCGCCTTATCCACAATTGGCACTTCTGGATACGGTGGTTCGAAGCGATTACGAAACGGATCTACGAACTAAGTGGAGGTTTTAGGTTAAGATTATAGGCCGCGGATGGACTGAACAAGAACATTAAAAAATGTCATTGTTTGTCTCAAAACAAATTCTGAAACAAAAAACTAAATTTTTAGGATTATATGGATTTTTACGGTTTTTCATTGTTGCAAATAACAATTCTTCCCTCTTGTGCAGTCCATACACACTGTATAATTTACTCGTCAGACCTAAGTATTAAACTGAGAATCATGAATAAGCAGTTGCTACATAACAAAATAGTATAAATATATAAATTTGAAATTCTCTGTCTGTCCGCCTGTACCACCCAGGAATTAACCACTCCTACAGTTGTCAATATACAGAGTGGCCCAACGAGAAGTATACAGGGGGCTTTTAGGGTATTAAATTTCGAAAAATCCTCGAACACGTTAATTTTGTAATCGAGGGGGACAACTTTTGGAATACAAATCACAAACCCAAGTCTTCACCCCTCTACGTAGGGAGCTTAACCCCTAAAATTTTAAATGGAATCCTATGGCAAATGGCACATTATTTAAAAGCCAATTTAATCGTGATTACTGATCTGCTTTGTTTTTTAAATTCTATTGATAATTAAGTAGTTCCAGAACTCGCCACTAGGGCATCTGAGCAATACCAATATTTATACCGTATTTTCTGTAAGACAACTAAGAGGTGGGTCCCAAAATTGAACATTTTTTTTGATGGGGAACCTAGTCAACTTTGGGAACCAGTGCGCTATAGTAACAGATAATCAAGGAGGCATTAAAAGCTATAGAAGTGAATTCTAGGTTTTTTCAAAGATACTGACAAAGAGTGTTATTAAAACCACTAAGAATAATAATCATACCTTAATATGTAATCGGTTTTCGGCTTCGTACTTAACAATCATTTTAATTATTTCTACATCATTCCCATATGCACTTCGATAGTTGCGTTTTAAAAATGCAGTCAGTCCATATGCAGTTTCTGTTACATTAACGTATTTGTAACTATCGTAATTGGGGGGAAAGTAACAGTAGGGCACGTCGAGAGGTGCGTATTTCTTCTTTTTGGACTTTGATTTAACAGGAACCCAACAGCAACCTCTCAACTCGCATCCTTGCATGTTCGCACCGTACTCGGGGTAACAGTCCAATTTCTCTTCGTTTTTGAGTAGTTTGCACTGCTTATAATCGGGCTTGGGGGGAGGTGGTAGATCTTTTTCGGATTGAGAGCTTTGAAGTTCATCGTGTATTTTAGCACTTGGTGTGTAATGTTCCTGAAAGATATCATTTGTCTCACTGCGTGCAGAGTAATTAAGATAATCTCACCTTATCCTTAAGATTATGATGCGAATGTTGAATTAATAAATCATGATCAATGTTTACAACACCAAAACAGTGTAATAAATATATAATTGGAAGGATTAAAAACACAGCCAATAACAGGATGAGCAATAGGATTGTCGCTAGACTAGGACGGGTGCATTTAGAAATACTGCTGGTTTCTGCAGAGAAACGAACGTACTCTTCTGCCTATTAAAAACAGACTTTCAAACAGATTCAAGTGACTGAAATGTGTAACTCACTTTGGCATGCTTTGGGGAACACTTGTATTCATTACTTAGTGAGGACTCCTTTGTGGCAGGGTGACGTAGAGGAGGTGCTTCGTTACAAAACGCCTCAAACGATACAGAATCACTGTTATTCAGCTGCCTCGCTCTTCGTATCCTCCAGGCAATGAGTAAATCTCTAATTCGGGTCATTCTGTAAACTTCACAATGTATGTAAAATTAATAAACGATTTGTTCTTCGTTTTATTGTAGATTATAACTGAAGGGAGTGTGGTAAAATAAAGATATAATATCAAACGTTATCATTTGTAACTGGACTGTTTCCTATTGATAAAGTGCGATGATGCGGTTTATTGTTTGGTTTGGTTAACCTTTTGACATAGAACAGCTGATCAGCTGAGCTGATGCGCGCTTTAAAATGAGATTTCCCCCCAGGCGCAAATTTCGTAAATAAAAAAGCTACTTTTCTCAATTGTAATGATGCCCCGGGGCCCGGCCAAAAGAGATTTTCATTTGTATTTTTTTTTTGTATTTTTGTGAATAATGATCCTAAGATTTTTCGATTAAGTTCAAAGGTCTGTTCGGATGCTCGGCGAGGACTTCCGTGCTAGTATTCAATGCTAGTACATATGCATAACTCAATATAACAGAAAAGTTTAAACAAATATAAATTGTGCACAATTCTTGTGCAGATACAGCGCATTTTTTTAACCGAAATAGCTTTTGTTTTGACATCACGTCTCAATCACCCTTTGTGAGTACTCTCTTCCCACAATCCGTTCTTGAGGTATAAGGGAATATACCCGATCACAATAAGAGGTCGAGAAGGAGGGCTATGGTTGGTAGAAATTAATTCCTTTCATTGAGACCTTTCATTAGAGTACCAGAAGGATAAAACTAGTTCTACTCCCCCCCCCCTCCGGCCTTGGCTACCTGCTGCAAAAAATTCCAGGACTCTAGGACCATTCCCCTAGAAGTAGTTTGAAAAGGCAGAAGTGGGTCCGGACAAAACGCAAACAATAGCACATTTAATTCTTAAAAAATTCACAGAAGTGAAGTCCAAAAAACCATACCATTATGTCAAATTTCCTACTTACGTCACAGTGGCAGAAGGCGAGCGTTCATATATACTCTTTCAAGTACTCTTTAGAGTAAAAAATCCCTTTCGGATTTATTGAGCTTTTCATTTATTTGAGTGAGATAAAGGTAAATGTTTGGAGGTAACGTGGCTATTTGTAATCTTTCAGAAATATTGTATTATTAGGTAGAAATGTTGAATTAGAAATTAAAGCAGGATTTCCGTTAAAATACGAGAGACGCTTTTTGCCTAGTTTGAGTCCGGAGTGCCGTTCTTTTGAAGACGTCTTTTGTTCAAGTTGAGGCCAAGAGGGTGCTGTCTGTTTAAAAAAGTTTTTTTTTAGGTATACCAACCCCGACCTGCTGACCATTGGAAGCAGTTTTTTTGTTTTCGTTCAAGTTCGTGCCCAAGCAACAGTTTGGAATAAAATTTGTCTTTGTAATTTCATGCAAGTTGTGTGTTAATTCGGACCCTTTATAACGACGAACAGAGAAGTTTCATTCTCAATTACAGTTAATTTTAATGATTCTCGCTCAAAGTTAATTTTAAGTGTTAGTAAAAATTTAATTACCTACATGACCGTTTGGAATTGAAGGATTTTGATTTTGCGCACTATCTACTCGAAAACGCCTAGCAGCAGACTCAAATCTCTGTATACGATTTTTACTACAGAACACTTAAAATGATTGTAACAAAAGATAGTATCTACCAGACATTTCGCAAACATCAAATTTGAATTGAATGTTACTATGAGAGCGCACTAAAAATGTGTTATTCTTTTTGTATTTCTGATTTCAAAAGCAAGTTGCTTCTCCACTGTTTTGAATTTATGACTGATAAAGGTTCAAACGATAAAAGAAGATCTAGTTTCATTTAAAACTACAAAAACTGAATCACACTTTTACAAATATTTTTATTACAAAACTATAATCGCATAAATAAATAAATACTAAGCGGTACACCCACTCATAATATCTGAAACAAACACAGTGTAAATAAACGTACTAAAAAATTTATAAGAAAAAAACTCACTATCAACAATTGAAGTCAAAGCTTTCATAGCAGGAGAACCTGGTAACTCGGTTAAGTAATCTTTGCCCTCATCACAGCATCTGGCCAATTTAGGATCTAAAGGCAAACTTCCCAAAAAGGGAATATTGAATTCATTGCACATGCGTTGTGCCCCACCAGTGGTTGCAGGAAATATTTCCGATTGTCGCTGTGAACGTAACAATAATGAAACCCTACATAGCAATTAGCGAAAAATACCTGGCAGCAAGGGCATACAAAAATGGACATATTTTCTATAACACCCAGTATGTTTATGTTTAGTTTCCGACAGAAATCAACCTCCTTCCGAACATCTAAAAGGGCGACCTCTTGAGGTGTTGTAATAATGATCGCGCCTGTTAGACCGGCCTTGGCCAAGTATGTTGCAGCTGATAAGTGTTCGTCAGACGTACCTTGAACGGAAAAGTTTACGTTTATACATCAAGATGATAAACAAATATGTTGTGAAGTTTCCATTGACGTACATTGATGATCTTTGTACCGCGATAACAAAGTTACACAATTACCTGGGGGTGTATCCATAAGGAGGTAGTCGAGATTTCCCCAATCAACTTCGCTTAAAAATTGACGAATCATTCCATTTTTCTTGGGTCCTCTCCATATGATTGCGTCATCAACGGAAGACAAGAGAAATCCAATGGACATGACGGATAAGTTGTCCTCAACGTACTAAAGCCGTCAGTAAGTCATAATATTAACTCAAAAGTTGGCACATACCACTGGTGACCATCCCGACCCCGATTGGTGCACTTGTTCGCCATTTACACCTAAAACTCTCGGTTGCGATGGTCCACAAATGTCAATATCTAAAACGGCAACCTGCAAAACATATTGATTATTTTTCCATGTCGAGGAATGTGCAGAACTTAAATTAGGCCACAGTGCTTAGCACAGAGTGACACAGACTTCCCGATGTTTGAAAATACGGGAGTGTTAGATCAGATTGTGAATGTAGCACACAAATGTTCTTTGGAGGTCCAGAAGAACGAAGAAGCCGATATAACAGAGTAAGACTTACATTTAATTCAGAGTTACGTTGCGCAATTCCACGACTGAGCAGAGCAGTTAGTGTGCTTTTACCGACACCTCCTTTACCAGACAATATCAAAATTTTGTGTTTTACTGCTTCTAAACGATCCTTCACCAGCTGTATGCCGGGGTCGACTGCCTTAGTTGCACCGGAGGAACAGACTTGTTGATTAGGGCAACCTGCACAGGCTGACACTTTGCCGGCGTCGGTACTCTGAGTGCCCGGACAATCTGTGATGAAGGCTTTACACAAGGGGCTTAGCAAAATAAGTAACTTACGTTCAGGAGCGTTTGGGGGTATCACTTCGGCCATGCTTATAAGATGTCAATAACCTCACTCATTTAATGTTTCTGACGATTAGCTGTTGATCTCGCGCTTTTATGTAGTGAACTTTGCCTGACGCGTGTCTGTAAAAGTAAAATAAATAGAAATAGAACTTGCATGAGCAAAGTACACAAACTTCTTGTGTTTAACTTAACCTTACATTTTTTATTGATTGTCGTTTTTTATTTATACAGGGTGTCCAATACCGAGATTAATCTAACCGGTTATTCAAAAACCCGTTTCAACTAAAATATTTTCAGTTTTATACGATTTCCGGTTACACCGGATCTTGACTAAACGAAATTACTCCTGTCAATGAAGAAAAATTTCCTGAAACTGGTAGAGTTCACCTCTCGAATCTGAACAATATACTAAAAGTCCGAACCGACAGGGTGTAAGCTTAGGGGTGGATAGGGATTGAAAGGTGCACTTTTAGCGCATTTTTTAACGTAGTTGGGTGCGCCATTGCAGCTTCTCTGTCCGTCCGACCGTCTGTCCCTCCGTCTGTCCGAGGGCCTTAACAACTTTCTTATTTATCTTCTGAAAATTTTAATCACAGATGCTTCTCTTAAAAGCAAACATATCTCATATTGTAAGCATTAGATGCTTAGATTACATATGAATACATTACTTTGAAATTTTAACCATGATGCTTCTAATAAAGAAAAACGTATCACATGTAGTAAAAATCGAACACTACAAAAGTCATTTGCAAAGGCAAACACATCGCACATAGTAAAAATTAAATGCGCGCATGCGCAGGCCGCAAGATGCCAGCTTTTTTACTTATGAAGATCTCTCTTTAAAATTTTAACCATAGGTAGACGTTTCTATTAAAAATAAACATATCGTATATAGCATAAATTAAATGTGCGCATGCAAAAACATTCTTTATTTTAAAGGGTGCCCATTATGTATAGAATATTATAGTGTATATAGTCTGTTTCGAATTAAGTCGGCACTATTGCTAAATTTCTTAGTTAAATTACAAAAATTTGGTATTTTGTCTACCCGAATTCCAATCTCGTAATTTAAAAAAACAAAACAACATCGCATTTTTAAGATAATAACAAAAATGTGTCCTTTTATACGGAACACCCTGTATATTATAATACCAGGTTAAATTCTCTACAAGAGTTTTTAATGGACCATCCCAAAGTACAAATAACCATGATCTTTCAATTCAACATTTTGATCTAGTTATCAATGGAAATGGTAAAAATACATAATAGTATTTAAAACAAGCAGAAAAATACACAATTTAGATAATTTAACCGTATTCCTAACTCTACAACTAAGAAAGTTAGCAATCGTGCCGACTTAATTTGAAACAGACAGACAGATTGTATACTTATCTCAGTAAATAACGACTGTATACCAAATAATTGTAAATAAAAGTTATTTAACATTTCATTTTCCATAATAAGGCAGCATTCAGTTGATTTTGAAAAAAAAGGGTACTAACATGGGACGTCATTGAAAAAAGAAAAAAAAATCTCTTTCAAATAAGCCTACTGAAAGGGTACATTGCTATTTAAAAAAATTCAATTGTTTTCCATTAGTCATTTATTTTCTGAAATAAGAAACTTTTACCTAATAGAACAATTTTGTATGTCGAGATATACTATATTCCATACATAATGGTCACCCTGTATACCGGGAAATATTGTGCGAAAAATTGTGGAAAAGTGTCAATGCGAACATTGCAAAGAAGCAGAGCTGGGTAAAGCCCTCTTGTAAAGGGCTTGAAGCACTAAGCACCGAGCACTTTGTTTTGATAAAAGTGCTTGCAAGCCCTAAGCACTTTTATGTGATTAAAGAGCTTGGAATTACCAAGCACTTTCTAAAGTAATTGAAAATACAAAGCACCAAGCCCTTGGAAAGTGCTTGAAGCCATTAAAAGTGCTTGAATCACAGTAATTGACAATATAAATTAATATAAATATAAACAATATAAAGCACCTTTCATATTACTGGAAACCAGGGTTTCTAGTCTATAACTTTTGATTGAGAAGTCTGATCGAAAAAGTACGAATTGATTTGGATTCTACGCACCCAAATTAATAAGAAAAAGTGTTTTCCCGAGAAATTTTGGTGTAGTCGATTTTTGGTAAAAAAGGAAGGTTACACTGCCTTTTTTTGAGCCCCGAAAAAAAAATTGTCTCAGATCGACCCGGAAAAAAATTTTTCTTATAGAATGTGGCCTGTAGAATCCATAATTTCAAACAGTTCCAAGATTTGGCTACTAGTTCAAAAGTTACAGCCCTTTGAATTTTTTTTCGAAATTGGTTTCTAGTCTATAACTTTTGATTGAGAAGTCTGATCGAAAAAGTACGAATTGAATTGGTTTCTACGCTCCCAAATTAATAAGAAAAAGTGTTTTCCCGAGAAATTTTGGTGTAGTCGATTTTTGGTAAAAAAGGAAGGCTATACACTGCCTTTTTTTGAGCCCCGAAAAAAAATTGTCTCAGATCGATCCGGAAAAAATATTTTCTTATAGAATGTGGCCTGTAGAATCGATAACTTCAAATAGTTCCAAGATGGGCTACTAGTTCAAAAGTTACAGCCCTTTGAATTTTTTTCAAAATTGGTTTCTAGCCTGCTGGACACTTTAAAAAACACGCTAGAAACAGTACTTCCGCATCGTAATTATACTGGAGGAATTAGTGGTTTTATCGCTAAAGTTTTGCTTGTCCAAATTTTCGTTTAAAACGATTAGGTACACAAAAAAATGTTGTTATCGGTACAGTACTCTCCCCGTACCCATGGGTAATGACTAATGTAGAAGTAATAACTGCATATGCTATAAAAGTAGGTACTTCAATAAAAAAATCCAGAATGTTGCTCGGAAATTCCTTGACACTTGTTACTTGTAGGTGCGTGTACCTAGACCTACCGAGACGTATCTTCTGAAATAATTGAAATTAGTGATAGTATGTTACGTGAAGAATTATGCACAGAGAAAATTTGTAAACTTTTAGTATGTAGGTAATAATTCTTAATTACAAATATAAAAGGACAATAATAGATAATTCCTTATAATCAAAGGAATACAGATATAAGGGTTAAGACTTAATTAAAAAAATTTAAACTTCTACTATTCTTGGTATTTACTATTTTGGCGGTTTGATGTTATTTTCTGGCCTTTTATAAAAATGTTTAATTTAGTGGCAAGTGCGTGGTAATTGATTAGGTAGGTACTTTTTTGCAGTTCAGGTAATGCATTTTATGTGTTATATACGCGGTAGTAAATTATCTGATTATACCTATCGTAATAACTATAACCATTGTTAAATTATTTAAACAATGCTATAACAAAACTTAACGTATGCCGGTATGCCCTGAATATGAGAGGGCAGCGTTAATAAATGACAGAACTTACCTCTTCCTTTTTTTGTTCGCGAAATCGTACGACCCCTTTCACAGGAAACCACACAATACGAAAAACAAGGTCAAAAGTGGGATGTGCAGACTGCAGACTAATCACTAATGAAGTACAGAACACGTAGGTAATGTCAGAGTAGGAGTGAAGGAATGAGTAAGACTAAGGGTTTTCTAAATTCGTCTCGTAATTCACGATAAGAGCTTCGTTATGAAAGTGCTTGAAGCTCTTTGTAAGTGCTTGCAGCCCTTAAAAAGTGCTTGAAGTTCTTTATAAGTGCTTGAAGCTCTTTATAAGTGCTTGAAGCCCTTGATAAGTGCCTGAAGCTCTTTAGAAGTGCTCGAAAATGTATGAAAGTGCTTCAAGCAGTTCAATAGGGCTTGAAGCTCCAAGCACTTTTAAAAAGTGCTTGGTAATTGAAGCACTTTTTCCTGAATTAGAAAAGTAATTGAAGCACAGAGCTCTAAGCACTAAAAGTAATTGAAGTCCTTTAGCAAGCACTTTTTTTCAAAGCACTACCCAGCTCTGCAAAGAAGTCGTTTCAGAACCTCAAATAAAAGACCACAGTTACAGTTCTGTCGACTACCAGCATTGATCTGGATCGCGGAGTTTGTTAATCGTGGAAAATTTGTCATTCCATCAGCAGCGATTTACAAAAATGGCGAACTTTGTGAAAAATGGTTCTAGATGGAAATGATGTTCAAAAATATTGTTGGTCTGAAAAACACACACGACGCCTTTTTCTGAAGAATAATGGCTATTCAAAAAACAAAGTGAGAATACATCCCTAAACGATTAATAGGCTTTTTTTCAGAATAAAATGTACCAAATGTACCCCAAATTAGGTACTAAAACTCGTTTCCATAGTACCCTATCCTGTTTTTTTGAATTTCCGAAAGTGACCTTATGGCATTTAATTAGTTTAAATGAGGAATACTTGGGACGGGAATATTCCGAGAAAAAATTTACCGCACTCAGGTGTGGAAAATAAATATTAAAAAATGAAATTACCACTACACCATAACTATAATTAACTATAGGCGGAAATGTTCAATTACCACGTGAGTGTAAAGCATTGGGGGGAAAAATGATTGCCAGTACCGTTAGTACCTACATACCGTACCCACCTTTCTTCTTTTGCTCGACTCATTATAATCTACCAGACCAACATCCCTTACGTTATACAATAATTATTGATCAAGTTGGTGAATTTTTAGTGAAATATGTAAGTCTATTTGTCATTAGAAGATTTTTTTCAATTCTTTCCAAGAATTAAAAGTGAGGGTGAAACAAAAATTGTCATGGCGGACAAATCGGAAACTGTTATGTACTCAGTATGTTCTTATGCTTAGCTTACGCTCCATTTCAACCTCATTTTGCCTTAGCAACTTCAACCATGGAGCACAGTTGGTGCGGTGCCATGTATGGAACAAACAGCAGGATCTCCAACTCCCGCACGTATCGGTCAGTATTACCAAACACCTCGCCCGCACCCTTGGCGACCAACACTGGGATACGAAAACATCGAAGTAAGGCCGCTGTATGTTGAACAAATCAAATTTTACGCCCTATACTTTATGCTAAATACGCAGACCCAGTCAACCTGTTACAAATGCAATTGTGGATCCTTGCTATACCCCTTACGGCATGTCGACGGAGCCCCTCAAGTTTCCCAATTTGGTGACTGGTTTTGAACGAAATCCCGCACACGCTGCACGTGCCGCACTCTACACACGTTACACCCCATTAGAATGGACGCACACGAATTTGAAAAACTACAACGAATCCGATACAAACAGAAACTATTCCGAACGCTTACGTGGCGATTTTATCAGAGTAATGAGGTAAGATATCTATTTGTAATACGTAATACAGATTTTCCCGTAGAGAAACGGATGAAAAAACGCAAGGAGGACAGAGGGAAGCTGGCAGGCGATTAGGTGAAAGAATCACGGATACGACATTTTGGAGGAATGAGGCGAGGGCGGAACTGGAACGACTAATAACTGAAAACGACTTGCTGCAAGAAGCGCGGAGAAGCCTTCAAAAATCAATTTTGGACATCGAGGGACCATTGCACATAGCGCAGGAGTGCTTGTATCAGCGCGAAACGCGGAAAGGAATTGAACTAGTGCACGACCAACCCGAACAGGCACTGCTAAAAGAAGTGGAAACATACAGAAATGCTCAAGAGCGCCTCAACGCCCTTATGAACAGAACCAAGAGCCAACTCAGCAACTGCAGAGCGGCTCAGCACGAGCTCGAAACTGACGTTCACAGTAAAGAGTCCGCCTTAGGCATTGACAACATGTGCCACCAGTTGAACAACTTCTCGCGCGGTATTAATTATTACGGAGGAATCGAAAACTACGATCCCACGTAAGTAGCGGCTCCGCCTCAAACCTGGAAACTACCATCACTAACGTTAGGGTAAGCACGACGACCTCGTGGGCCGAAAACAGTAACAGAATTGTCCAACGGTCGCAAGCCGAAAGAGGAAAATCGGCACAGTTGAGATCCGACATCGAGAGTCTGATTAACGCGGTATCGGCCGAAGTTTGGGACTCTTGGAGTAATACGAATAATGCGTTGGCTCGTAGAGCGGCCGAAACGTTGGAAACTAAGAGCAAACTTCAAATGCATCTTCATAAGGTATACTTTTTATTTTTCACAGATATCAGTAATCATCTTCATGGCGAAACGTTCTATTCTAAACATTTTTCATTTGGATTTGCACAATCTTACGTTTTGATTTGTGTGTCTATGTTCATCAATGCGGTACAGTTATATGTAACGCCCTGTATAGGGAGTATGTACAGACGGGTAATTTTTTCTATACATATATATATATTATACGCGTAACCCACACGATTCGGTAGTATATATACTACCTATTAAGATCCATAGCAACCACTCAGGAGGTGAAGAAACGGGTAGAAGTAGACGGTTATATTGGCAAAGTATAATAGATACAAATTCCACCTTTTATCTCACATTTCGTACCGATCGTTATTCGTATACATCAAGAAAAAATTACAGTACCTTACATTTAGCACTATCTGGAAACGGTGTCCTGTCGGGTAGTGAAAATGTGCCCTTCTCTTTTTAGAGTTTGTAGCATGACCAAAATTGTAGTAATTAGTTAACGTGGCCATCTTTAATCATTAATGAAAGTCTTTCATATGCGTATAAAGGCCGTTCATTGAAAACCCATAGTCGTTTTGTGTTTTGGATAGGTTTGTTCTGTCCTGTAGATACTCGAGTACTTGTTAGATATATCAAATTAATTAATGTGCTTCATTACTAGGCGTATTACCAATTTTAGGTGCAACAAGAAATATTTGAAATTGAAAAATACATTGAATTATTACGCAAAGCCATTCAAGATAAATCTGCGCCCATGAAAGTTGCGCATACTAGATTGGAGACGAGAACACACCGCAAAGATGTTGAATTATGTCGTGATATGGCCCAAGATAGGTAAAGTTTCGATCAGACTAACCCATGAGGTCTTGTCTTTATAATGTTATCAAATTAACATTTTAGATTGGTACAAGAGGTGCGAGATTTACAAGACAACATAGAATACTTACATCGTAAATTACAAGAAGCCGAAGCTCAACATCAACAACTTTTGAAAACAAGAACCACTTTAGAATCCGATTTATATAATAAGGTCAATACATTGTTCATTGATCGCGAGAAATGTATGGGAATGCGACGCTCATTCCCGATCACTGCCACCATTAAATATTAATTGTAGTTCTTTCACTTTTGAAATTATAGAGTTTTTCTTTGTACCTTATTCTACACACTAAATACATTTTCACCTACTAGTCCAACTAATTAATACATCAAAGGCACTAACTTTTACATGGAAATGCAAAGTTTTGGACAAGGACCAGTGTTACCGATCGAAGATAATTGCTATTTTCATATTAACACAGGCGATACCACATTTCTTTGAGGTAGAAATCATCGCTTACTTAGGACTTAGGAGCATAAGGAATTTCAAGAAATTCGCAAAGAACATACCCAAAAATGTAGGTAGAGTTCCTTCTCGTTAAATAATTGCATGGTGGCCGAGAAAAAAAGATCAAATGCAAATTTTGGGACATTTTGGATTCATAGTTTATTGGAAAAAAAATTAGGTGCTTTAGCACTCAATTCCTTTATAATGGAACTTCCATGGAAGGTAATAATTAGATGCTGTCGCCCTATGTTAATTTAATCATTTACCTAGACAATAGACAACAGTGCCTGTCTTAAGAGAGAAAGAAAGAAGAGTACTTAAATCATCAAAAAACTAAAAATTTGTCAGATTTGGAATCCAGGGGAGATCCGGCTCGAGTTATATATAGATTTATATCAGATGTGCATAGGTATAAATAAATAAATAAAACTCGATTTTTGTAACAATCAAACGATGACTCAACCAGAGAAATGTACCGTTAGATTGTAATAGTGAATGTAAACAGACAAACGCACTAACGCATTCTGCTCGAATGAAGACATAGGCCCCCATTGGGCTGGCATAAAAATGATGTAATTTAATGATACGCCACTGGTGTATGTCAAAGAAGCACTACCACAGAAGGCATGTACTTTAAGCACTTCTTTATGCACATAACCCCAAAAACCTTCAAAATTATTTCTAAATATAATTAAATTCCAAAAGTTACAACAAACAATGAGTTCCGAGCAAGTCGTCAATGGGGGTTCCGAAGATACTGACGAGAGATCTCAGAAAAAATCGGCCAAACATGATTGTGGAGCAGCCGATCTGGAAAAAGTAACCGACTACGCTGAGGAGAAGGAAATATCGACACAAGATTTCTCAGGTGCAATATCGTTAATTGGGGATCAACGAAATAAACAAGCGGCCGAGAAGATAGCGAGAGAAAAGGAACTGCTAAAAGTTCTAATTAAGAAGGAGGATGTTGATTTAATTGTACGTGAAATGGAAATATCACGAATAAAAGCCGAACGAACTTTAAGAGAGCATCACGGGAATGTTGTGAAGGCCCTCATTGCTTTAACGAACTAATTTCCAACTGTTTCTTAATAATGAAATAATTGTCTTGTAAATAAATTTGTAATTGATATTCGACTAAATGATGTACACTGTTTACAAATATTCTCTATCCATAGGAGTCTTTTTGGCTTTCTTATCTCGAGCACGAGGGAACCATCTATGTTTCGTTGTGAAGGTGATGTTCATTAATTCTTGGCGGGCTTGTTCGTCAGTTTTCTTTTTAAATATCTCCATGAGTTCTGGTGTCAATTTGGTTTTGAGTACTGATGTGTCTTCTTCTAACTTCGGTTCTGGTAAAGGTCTTGTACACTCGTAGGGGAAATCCTGCTGTGGGTGCCATGCGACGAAAGTACTTCCATCATCGGTCAACACAATAGGTGTGCTGTTTGTTCTTTTGGAATACAAACGATTAGACAAGTTTCTAACTAAAGTAATATTTCTCAACATCTTTTGTAATCATGCACAATCAACAATGTTGTGAGGTTATGTTTGAAATGTTAACCTTAAAAAATGTTCAGTACTTTCAGAATCTTTTTGAAAGATCTCTCACATAAAGGTTTCTATCACAAATTGCTATTCAGCAATCGAAACATCCACAGTAGCAATGTTAGGCAATCGAAGATTGGATCAAATCAAGCACTGAAATCGAAGTCAACCCTCTATTATGTAACAGCAGCGGGTGTACTAGTTGTAGGTTTCAGCTACGCGGCCGTACCTCTGTATAGCATGTTTTGTCAAGCCTACGGGTACGGTGGAACTGTGGCCGCGGGGCATGACAACACAAAGGTGGAGAGCATGGCCGCAGTTAAACACAAGCCAATCAAAATCAAATTCAATGCAGACACCGTGTCCAGCATGAGGTGGAACTTTAAGCCACAACAATTGGAAATACAAGTGAGTATTTTACGAAGTCCTTTTCAATCTGTAATTATCTCAAGGTAGTTCCAGGCGAGACTGCTTTAGCATTTTACACTGCCCAAAATCCGACCGACGTACCCGTTACTGGTATAAGTACGTATAATGTTGTTCCTTTCGAGGCCGGTCAGTACTTTAATAAAATCCAATGTTTCTGCTTTGAAGAACAACAGCTAAACCCACATGAACAGGTAATACTGCGGAAGAGTACTCGATTGTACTAGCAATTTCTAGGTCGATATGCCCGTTTTTTTCTACATTGACCCGGAGTTTGCTCAGGATCCGGCAATGGAGTATATTAAAGATATTACGTTGTCATACACATTTTTTGAAGCAAAAGAAGGATTGCAGTTGCCCATGCCTACGTTTATTAAATAGGACTAGTTTGTTAATGTGTATAAGGAGGATGCAAATAAAAAAGTTATAATTTATAACTGGAAGAGTTAGTATTCAATGGTACTTGTAACCAGAATGAAAACACTATGTACTTTATTCTGTGGTATCCATGTAAGCTATAGCCGAGGCCCTAGGGGTCAACGGATTTACGTCTCTGTGATGGGGGGGTACCTCCTAAACAATGGCTCTCGACCTTTTTCTTTTAACTAGCTCTCCTCCCTTCAGCCCCTGTGAAAAGCTGATGATTTTCAAACTCCCCTTATAAAAGTGAGCTAGACGCACGTCTATCGATGGAACGGATATGCCTAGTTTCCTTTTTTCATCACATCGAGTCGTTTTCCTTTGCAAGTCCGCTACATCAATGATTCTGGACACCACCATGCTCTGCATGACGCCACTTAGAAAAATAGGTGTATGCTCTTAACATTATGGGAACTGCTGTACTCTTCTTCTACTTTGCTTTTTTTCAAAGGGTATTCTTTTGCAATCTAAACATGAAATTTCCAGCGCCAATTTTAGGTAGAAAATGTAAGCGTTTCCATTTAAAATAAGCAGGTTGTGAACAGTTTTTGGTATAAACGCAAATTTTTGTTCTCGAAAAACATTTGTCGTTCGATGTTCCGAACGAGGAGGCAGATACCAGCCTGAGGGGTCAGGTTCTATAAATTCTTCAGACATACTGTATCCTAGATTAACATTAAAAATATCCAAAATGCAACTAGACTACACAACTACACCAAATATTAGGAATTATGTTAAAATGAACAGTATGTGTATAATAGACTCCAGCATCCCATAGCGTAAAGAGGACGTTTCTGTAGTTACAAAAGGGGGGTTATTTAACTTACTAACCAAGATCTTCCGAGTTTTTGCTTTGATATGATTTAGAATCTTAGAAATCTTAGGTGAGATTTACATTTAACAATGGGTAATATTAGTTTCGAGATTAGTTTCTTTCAATAGAGGTAGCAATTTACTGTATTCAGAATTCCTCCTATTAGCTAGATACCAATCTAGGTGCTAAATTCTTACCTTTTCGAATGAGAAGACTGTGAGAAATTGTAATATGACATCACTAAATTATATTTACACAATTATAATAAGAGTGTATTTAACATGATTACAAAATAAACGAACTACGCGTAACTGCACGATCAGACAGTCATTTAAATTTTACCGGGGAATGTTCCCTCTTCTATCTGAGTATTCCACTTGTCGATCCAGGCGTTCGGACACATGACTGTGAAGACCTTCTTAAAATATTGACAGGGTTCGTAATCCGTGCCTCTGGCCTTTTGGCAGCGATGATAATCCAAAAAGCTGGAGTAGCAGTATCGGGTCTGGTTAGTATTCGGAAATCTCGGATCGAAGGGTGCCGTACGAAATACGATTTCTTCTTCTTTCGATTCTACGGATGGGGACATTACGCCTGAAATGGAAATGTATTTCACTAAACTAATAAAAGAATGAACCAGAGTTAAAACGATTTTAGTATTACCTTCAATTAGTACACTTTTTAAGTCCGGTTCAAACTTCTAGCGTTCTGTTAACACTGTTCTATTCGTTTGCTGATTTCTTCCCAAGGAACACAGTTTTTCAGTACTCAATATTAATCTCGCAAAATTAATTAATATACAACTCTTACAGATTTTACACAATTATGAGCACGAATAGGACCAATGAACAGCCGTGTTTCATTAGCCTATCCCCATAAGACCAACAATGCCTAAAAAAATTAAATCAAGAGTACCCTTAATAAAAACTAATGTAATTAAAATTTCTGTTTGCTTCTATCACATGGAGAAAGCGCTATCCCAAGATCAGCTGTTACGCTGCCTTCTCTTTCACACGGAACAAACACATTTTTCTCTCTCGCGCACTACTTAGAACTGCGACAACCGTACTGTTATTAATTACATTAATTTCAATTAAGGGTATTCTTGACTTAATTTTTTTTAGGCAACCCATTTGCAATGTGACTGTTTACATATCAAGATTGCTAAAAAATGTATTTCACTCGGTAAACAGATGGGCGAAGGTTGCCCTTTGATATTCCAATCATATGTTGTCATATAGAAAGGGTGTAACAATTAAGTGTGTCAAAAAGAATTAGGTGGTAAAGGACCCAACACAAGCTTCCGAACTCGCTTCCGAACGATCTCAAAATTTGCGTTTCTTCTTTATTGTTTTCTCAGGCACTATAACAGATAGATGGATGAAACTTGCGATTTTACCAGGTTTTTGTGTATAGATACCCTTTTCCCGGAAAAAATTTTAGTTTACATTTGAAATAATTGGTGTTTTTTAATTATTTTCACTGCCCTTTTTAAGTACAAGAATGTATTTTTTTCTTAACAATCTTAACTTTACTTAGCATCTTCAGAAGTGAATAAGTCTCTAAGCAAAAGATTTTTGATCAAGTCAAAAACTGCAAAAATCTTTTTGAAATGTATTTTTAATCATTTGAACAATATACGACACACCAGGGATGATTTTTGAAAAGAGAATTTAATAAGAGATTTAATATGCTCTCTTTTGGATTAAAATATACAGGGTGTTCCATTAAAAAAATTAGGTTAAGTCCGATAACATTTTTATCTGACCACGGTAGATGATTCATTATCATTATAAAGAAACTTTTGTAATAATCATTTTTCTGTATCCCTTTTAACAAAGAAACTATTAGGTTCATTCTTTTTGATTTGCCTCTGTATTTCTTAAGCGAGCGAATACTTTCAAAAATTGAGACAGCGACTTTAAGCTTGAGTCATAAAGGGCACATGACGCCTATATTAGTTTTTTGACAGCACCAACAATTGCGGAGACCGTAAGTGCTGAAAATGAGACACCCTGCACATATGTTTTGTACAATACTGAGCAAAAACGAATTGATGACCCTAAACCGTATTTTTCTATCACAAATTTCAAAATGTAAATAGTACACCCTGTATATTTTTGTTTTCTAGAAAAAATGTTACACCTGATACATTGTTTTCGGTAATTTATAGAATTGTTTAAAAAAAATAATAATTAGCCGATTATGTTAAAATTTAAATTAAAAAAATGAAATTGCATCCAAAAGTTGCAAATTTAGCACTGACCTCATCATTCAATCTAGTCAGTTATGAAGGTACTATCAAGATAAGAGTTAGACAAAAAGATCAGCCCACTTTCAACAGATTTCTTTTTAATACAAAACGTATGTACCTACACTAACAAAAATGGCGAGAAACATTTATACGAGCGAGTTAGCGACCTGTTAATTTGATAATGCAATGCACCTGGTTGTGCAAATAGAAGTGGCGTAACTGGCAAGTGATCAAGATAAAACTTTACATGGAGACGATTTAAAGAACCATTATAAAAGTACGGTCAATTACATGTTTTTATGTAAATTAAAAGCAAGAGATTTTTGGCATTTTAAAAATGGGGAAGCATGCAATTGTGGTTTTCCTTAAAGAAATCAACAAAGTATAGAAATGAAAACATTACCTGCTAATCTTCCGATAGTTAACGTCCTCTAATACTTTTAATAAACGGTAAATCTAATTAAAAAAAATATAACACTCTATTTAACTAAAGGTCTGGTTTTGGAATCGTCATCACAACACGCCTCCTTGTACCGCTTTACTTCCTTCATATAAACCGACCAAGCGTCCATTCCATCACCCTGCATAAACTCGTCTATCACTTTTGTCTTTTCCACCAAACCAGTTTTAAGTATGCGACCGCCTCTACGCTTTGCGATTGGCGGTATCATCGGCACTGGCTCGCTAGAGCCCGCCTGTTCGGTAGCTTTCTGCTGCTCCTCCTGCATCTTTTTAAACATTTCCAAAAATGAGCCGTCGTTCTTAAACGCGTTCTCCTTAGATGCCGGCTCGTCTTCCTCCTCGATCTCGCCCGACGTGTTCGCAGGATCTTCTCTCTCGGAATCGGATTTAACCTCGTCACGATGTGACTTCTTATGCCGACGGGTTCTGGACCGGGAGCGCCTGCGACTTCGCGACCGTTTGTGACGCTTCTCCCGTTTCGATTTGCCATGCCTGCTTCTGCTAGACGACGTACTCCGATGTCTGCGACTTCGGCGGTCACGCGACCGCGTCCGTCTATGCCGTCCCTCTCGCGATCTGCTACGATTGCTCCTCTTACGTCTGTCCGAATGTCTAGATCTACTGTGCGAGCGTCTATGATGTCGAGATCGGTCTCGCGAGTGTCGACGCTTTTCGTACTCCAAATACTCGGGGTTTTTTAAAAATGGATCAATTCGATCGATTTTACTTTTTGTGTCTTCGCCGGACTCGCTCTTAATTTTCGATGAGGCGGCGGATGACTCACCCTCGTACTCTAAGAGAACTTTACGTAATTCCTCCACTTTACTTTTGGCCAAATCCTCTACAGGCGTTTTGCCGTAATCGTCTTCAAAATCGGAGCATACTTCTGTTCCGGGTGGTGGCGGATTATTGAACCCGCCCCCTGACGGGTTCATCTCTGTGATTTAACGAGTGTGTGTGTGTGAGACCTACGAGAGAACTTGCAGATATAATTATCTGTATCGAGGCATAACATTTCAAAATTCAGAGATCTTGAAAACTGGTCCAGCTTCACGAGAAAGTTGTACATTTTGGTATTAATTACAGGAAGGGTACTTTTTTAATAACAAACACCAAAAAGAAAATGTGGTGGCTGTGGGTACGCAAACATCTTGGTTCCCAACAAGATACAATTCACTAGACACAGTTACGTAACTAAATATTTGTTCCCTAAATTATAATTTGGCTAATAATTATATTTTATTATACCTGCTTATTGAGGAAACTCGAATGGAACCTGGATACCAATATGGCCACCAATTTTACGCAAGCAAACCACTTTTATTCGCTGTCGTCAGTCGTTTCCACAAAAACCCAGCAAATTTTTCGTCAGTACGGTGACAAGAACAATGATGGTAGCCGATCAATAAACTTCCTGTTTGACATTCGACCTCGTTTAGGTTTGCAGCTACACTATTTAATGACTACCGAATACTAGTATAGATGGCAGGATTTGTTTTTCATGTATAATGTATGGGGTGCTTCATAACATGATATAAACAAGGTGGGCCAAAAGGATTTTAATAATCGGCCTCCGCAGCCCTACCTGATGCGTGCGCCAGTGCTATTTCACATTTCATCATTTATTAGGCGCTTTCTTTCGGCTACTTCGCAATCATGATTTCGAGATCGTGGTTCGTAGGATCACGTTTTACGAAAGCACGCGCGAATTTGAATCAAAGTTTGGTTAAGTTTACGTAGCGCACATTTGCATTCGAATTACGTATTTTTTGTTTGGATTATGAAAATAATTTAAATACAAGTGGAAGCACGTGCACGATTATGCTATACAAATATTGACTAATCTAACATTTGAGCAAAAATATCCTTGCATTTATAGGTTAGGAATTCGTGTCAAAATACTTTTATGTTCAGTTTGTTCACGATTTTAGCAATCATGATTATAAGATCACACTTCGAAAGAACGTGATTTAACAATCCAAACGCGTTTGGATCACCGAAAGAAAGCGCCTATTGTCCTTGTAAAAGTCACGTTTCGCATTACATTTGTATTAAAATCTGCTTCAATATGATTAAAACTTTATAGGCCGAATTGTTTGGTTTTCACAAGCATGTTATAAAGTGAACATTTTATTTTTCCAAATTTTGTAATCTGCCATTCTCCCCTTCATATACAAAAAACAAGGTGAGAATCCGGTGGCTGCGGAAACCCTCTCTACACGAATTGTAATATTTATGGCCGTATGCACCGACAAATTCAAGCGAGTAGCTTGAGCGTAGTTTATAAGTAATCCATGGCAACGATATTGCGGTAATAGTTGCTATGGATTTTAAGCCAACGCTTCAACTAAGCTCCGCTTAAATTTGTCGATGCAGCCATTAGGCCTATCTTTCCATTTCTCGATAAATTTATATTTAACAAATAAGTACCTTGACAACGATTGGATCAACAATATGGTAACCATGGAATTGATTCGGAAAGTTATTGAAGTTTTGAGAGGTGGAAAGACTATAAGCCTTAATGTTCAAAATCAATCGAAGCAGCCTTTTTTTGCAACACAAACACTCGGTGACAGTAGATTCTGACTCCCCATACCACAATATTACAACTAATTAAAGAATATGCTAATACACTTAGTAAAGCACCTTGTCCAAATGAGTTTTTGAGTTTCACCATTAAGTAGTAAGTATTGTTAAGCTTGCAGCACCATACACTTGGTCAAACCAAGATAACGTGTCATCAACTATCAAGGCACTTGGTATTTAGTATTTGGAATTCATTTCAATGAACGCTGATTTGTGGTAGTTGACAGTTAACCCATTCTTTCCACGGCTCAAATTGGGTTAATGCTATCTCGACATTATGGATGACATACCTACTGTGTAGTATTTCCACTCACCACAACAGTTGTATCATCGGCGAACATAAACAGTTTATCGCTCGAAATGTAATCCGATAGGTAATTTATGAACACAAAGAAAATCAACATGGACCAAGTACATACACCCCTTACCTAAGATTAAACTTGTCGGCAGATCGTCTTGTGGAGGTACACAGGGACACATTGTGCTAGACTGTATATAAGCGCCAAAGTGCGTGGCTGACAGGTTGCATACTGTTTTAGAATCCCTTATCAATTCGTTATCGGGACCAGTTAAAGTACAAGGTGCGTGGAGTGTTTCTACAGTGATATTCATGACATAGGGATTTCCTATGTCTACTTTTACATGATAAAGTCTCCTGAAAACGCCTAATTTTATGCAACCAAAATAACTTCTTGAAACAAATAAAGATCTGGCTGTCATATTAATTATTAATTTGAATATTGTTGCTTTAGCTACACAGAAAATAAATCTCTTAAAGTGAAGGTTTGTAGGGTGAGTAGGCTCAAAATCCACCCTACAATCCTTCACTTCAACACCACCCAAGGCCGAACGAAAAAAACCTTTTAATAAATCTCTTAAGCCCCTTTAACTGTTATCGGCACTATACTTACCAATTGGAAATATCAACTTTTTCTTTAGTTGAATACATCGCACACGAACCGAAATTAGAATAGGGCGATAATATTCAAATTAATTAATGTGACAGGCAGATCCTCATTTGTTGTAGGTAGTTACTTTGGTTGCATAAAATTAGGCGTCTTTCAGGAGACTTTTTATCATGTAAAAGTAGATATAAGAAGTTCCTTAGACAAGGAAAGAGAAGGAAATTCCTATCGTCTACTTCTACATGAATATCACTGTATATTACCAAAGAGTATATACGGATCAAGTTACACAATGTTTTAGGTTTGTTTTTGGAGCGAGCAATTAATTTGGAGAAATATCGATGTTTTTCATTTTTGACATGCTCATTTACTTGCCTTTGTAATCTTTTGTAAGTAGTGCATATCAAATCCAGCGTTCCTACTCAATTTGCTAAGCTGATTTAAACCCTTTAAATTGTCCAATTGTGTACGAAATTCGTGGGAAAGGGCACCCTAGTCTTTGGTATGACGTGTTTCTTTTTTGTTTTGACACGAAACGCATAGTTAATGCAACCTAGAAATGTGTCTAAAAAGTTAGGGAAATCCATTTCAATATTCCCAATTAACGAGTTAGGAGTCCAGTAGGTACTGAAAGACTGAAAGAATGCCAATATGGAAAAAATACGAAACGCTCTGTGTATAGAACAACCATGAAGTCTTCGACTTTGGCCGTTCTGCGCAGCTCCCGAAGAACAGAGTGTTTACGTGATGGAGTTTTATTTATTTATTTATCAATTGAATTTCATGTCTTAATTTGTTATTATTTACATTTTTCATAAAATACTGATATAGCAGCGTGGTGTACTTCAAGCTTGTGTTTATGTACCGTCATTTGAATCATGTTTGCTAGGGTGATTATGCCTTTATATTGTTTCATTAAGTATTTATTTATGTATTCAAGATGCAAGTCTATTATCAGTGTCTTCTTGCTCTGTACGTTTCATTTTAACTATTCCTCGGAGGGAGCAGTTGGATTCTCAGTTGCATGTATGTTGCTCCTTCACCTCGTGAGAACTGCAGCTCTTGTGTCATGGCTTCTACGAGAAGGGGGGTTCTCTAATCTGATGTTTCTCGGTAGCGGTTTAACTATAACCGACACTTCTTTGTATCTGTTGCTTTCTTTCTCGTGCAGACCACAGATCTTGCGTCTTAGCAATACGAGAAGGACGTCCTCTAAGTAAAATTTTTTCTACTTATTGGCTTTGCTTGGGCGATACTTGACTTTAACATGAATACTTACTATTGGCATTCTCATTTATACGTTAAATTAATTGAAGTCCATGCTGGAGTAAAGGTATGATTTTAACGTGTTCTTTTTTGAACATGCAATGTAATGCAATTTGACGAGTTGTTTTGCCTAAAATTGAACCGTAGATGTATTTGATATGTTTTCCACTTGTATTTATGATGTCTCTTCTGTTTGTTTTATGAATTTGTTTAACTGCATTAATTTAATAAATACATAAATAAAGAAATACGAAAGAAAACTCTGTTTGAATTGCAAACTTTGTCGATCCATTCGGAAAATTAAAGGAAATTTACTAAAAATGCTTATTTTTCTATACCAAGTGGAGTCATCTGTTACCGGTAAATCTGTATATGTTGACCATATAGTAAAAAATTAAATATTGTTTACTCTATGATGTTGGGCTCGCATCCGCATAGTCTAAACGCAAATACTCCTGCATGAAATGCAAAGATCAGCTGTTCCTACAGTTTAACTGACAAATGTACAATTGGTCTAATTAATAGATACCTATCATCCTGCTTATGGTCCAGGTTGGGCTAGGGCCACCATAGATCTTACCATCCCAGTTAAAAAGCTAAAATGATGACTCTGGTTGTAGTAAACATCAAACGGCTTGAAAATACATTGTAAGCTTAATAGTACGGTGCAATTAGTCAAACAAACGGCTTAACCTGAACAGCCAAAGTAAAAGTTTCCCATCAACTGCAAATTGTTCTATACAGTCCACATATTGTTTTGTAAAAAGTTACACCATTTTAAGAGTCGGGTTTGCATGGGAGGGAGGAGGACAGTTGATAAATTAGTAGTTTTTCGAGTTTTTCTTAAATATTTAGAAAACTATGGGGTTTGGCGAGAAAAGCATGATATCCAAAAATAATCTATACTAAATTGCGAACAAAAATGGTCTTATGTATAATCTTGTTCAAGTGAACGATTCCAGAGTTACGGAGGGTGTAAAAGTAGACATTTTTCGTATTTTTTCGATTTCCTGGAAAAATGAAATTTTTTTTGAAGTAAAGAACACTGAAGATCTGGCTTGTTTTCGTTACCAGTGTTACTTGCAGGCTATTTCAAAGCATCCTATCATTCACTGTCCAAGTTGGCTACGCTTCTCCTCACTTCAGCAGCTACCAGGCAGACCATTCATTTATAAATATTAATTTATAAATAAAATGAGAAGAAGAACCCGTTGAAGTGGAGATGGAAGATTGCCGTACACCTGAGAGCAATAACAACACATCCTGCAACACCCCAGGAATTACTGTCCCTCATAGTGGAAGTCTCTTTAAAAAATGACCCCCTTGAGAAGGTGGTAACTTGTAAGGTCATCGTGCCTTCAAGGAAGGCATCAGTAACATACCACCGGTCACTAAAGCGCAATTTGTTTTAATAAAAAGATTAGTTTCCTTAGTGATAATCTCATATTTTTTCCAAAAGAAACTAAAAAGAAGATGAAAAATTTCTACTGTTACACCCTCCGTAACTCTGGAATGGTTCAATTTAGCAAGATTATATACGAGGCCATTTTTGTTCGCAATTTACTGTAGATTATTTTTGTATACCGCACTTTTCGCACTAAACCACACAGTTTGCTAAATATTTAAGAACAACTAATCAAAACTACTAATTTTCCAACTTTCCTCCCACCGTCCGTTTCTCCCAACACGAAATTCTTTCCGTTAATTATACGTAGGGGGTACTAATATATTTCCAAGTTTAAATAAATGAAGAGAATCATCTAGAAAGTTGTATCCAAGATGCAGAGGTTCTATGACGTAGGGTTCGAAAGTAGCTTACTTTCCGCCTTTTGGTACCTTGGTTCTCTCCTTCTCGGGAAAAACTCAAATTGTAACAACCTGTATATATAGATTCAATAAAGAATGGAATGGAATTTGGGTTTATTTTAAGAGCATTAGTAAAAGGTGGCTAAATCTATATAATTCGTTCGTTGGGCGTTCCATGATAGATATGAGATTCAACATACTTGAAATTTTTCCGATTCCATTTCTTCATCTGATTAATTCCATCTTGGCAGCATTCCCTGTATGACGCAATGTGATCTTTCAAATACTCCACGTATTTAGAAACGATCTCATATCGATCGTAACTAGAAATAAAGTTTTTTAAAACTCCAGCATTAGTGCTTACCTATAGTTCATTGATTCAAGCTTGCTCAGCGTGGCCAAAATACTTAGATCTGCAATTGTAAGTAAATCATCACCGCCCGTTCCTCCCAACACGAAATTCTTTCCGTTAATTATTTTCTCCAAAAGCTGCAAGCTGCGGTCAATTTCCGCTCCCAAGATCGGATTCGGAGGACTTTTGCTGTCGTACTGTGGTTTCTGCAAATGTACAAATAAGACACAGAGGACTGGCCGCGTAGTATATACAAAATAATCGCATATGCTTTGATTTAAGACTCCTTGATCGAAATAAAGGATTCGATCCACCAACGCCTGCTCCCTTATATCGGAGGGATACAAACTTCTTTTTTCGGATTTGGCGTGTTTCTGAACCAGATATTTGGCAATAGCTCGACTAAAACAAAATTGCAATTATTTGGGGACAAAGAATATTAAGCAACCCAGTGAGCCCTCCCTCATTGAACAGTCGACGAATAATACCACCCGGATCTACCTACCCCAGTCTGTGAATTTTGGTGAAGCACAATGGCATAACTATATAGTGTGATCCATAAAGTGTGCAACAGAAATCGCATCAAAAAATCGTGCTGTTCGTGAACAATTTTATAGTAAGCATTTACAATATGCAGGACAGGCCAAAAAATGATATAGAATCTGAAATGCTATTTTTTTTATTATAATTCAAATTTTCTTTAAAACTATAATCTAGAGCTAGACTATAAATTATATTAAAAAAAAGTAGAATTTCATGTAGAATTAGAATTTGGAACCAAATTCACGTAAAGCTTATTTGTCCCTGTTTTTCTACCTCTCTTATAAAACACAAATAAAATTTATAAGATTCCGGAAGATTGAAAACGAGGCCGGAAAGCTCGATTGAGTTAAATTTGGACGGGAGACGCTGCGATATGGTTTCATATACCTAATTTTTGGCATCGCTCCAGCATCTCTTAATCAAACCTGCAAAGTGCGTTTATAATATTATTTACACTTTGGTAGCATGCGTTATATTACAATTTTCATAAACGTTTACATATTTTATATATAACCGTGAGTAACCTGCACTCGTTTATGATCGTTTACGTTTCCTTCAACTTAAATAAACTCATTATTTTCAGATTGAGAGAACAATAATGATGCATTCGCATATTGTAGTTTAAGGTGGATGATGAAATCAACGCGGTTATTATAATGTTATACGTGTAAATTATAAAGGATGGTCACTTTTAGAAATTGAGATTTTGCCAAATTTCTTTCATATCTATTATTTATGATTTGTAATATTACTTAACGTTAGCTTTGATTTTTAAATGTAAAGAAAAGCGAAATTGGCTCACATTTTAGGAAACGTTACCCAACAGGATTAAATGTGGGGTTACTCTAACAAATTGGAATAACGCAGCTAAAGTTGTTCGTGACTTGTTCTCTATTAGGTACATAATGGCCATACTTAGTCAACTGCGTTACAAAACAGCACGGCTGTTGATCAACCTGAATGCCTTAGCCGTTTTGCTATCAACAATCGATAAAAAAAGGACCTAGGTGGTCTATTTTAATTTAGGAAGCATAAAATAGTCCTTGTGATTCGAACACACTTAACACAATTATAGTGGTCTGAAAAACAACGTTTTCCGTTATCCAGAACTCGGAGAGGAAAAGGTACTCCACAAATCCATGAAACATTAACACCACGGTTGAATTATTTATATAGACTGTTCTATTTCACTCGCTTTCTACACTTCATGCATAACTTGTAACGAAGCACGTAGTTTCATACCCGAAGTAATGACCACACCGTATATTTATGGAGTGTATCAGATTTGCTGAACGCCCGGTATCTGAATGCGTAAAGTTCGTTACGAAGACTATCGCTCCGAAAATATGTATTTCTGTTTTAGGCGTTAGGAATCGAAGGTAGAAAGAAGTGATTTAATTTGTAGAGCCGCCCGATAAGGAAAACAAGAGGTAGTATTTAACTGTTACGTTTGTAGCTTAAATTATTTTATTTTACTTATGGCAAATGTTAAATTGGCATTTCAATAGGTTTGAATGAGTAGGCTAACCGCAAGGGTAGATAAAGTGAAACAGATGATTATGAATTCTAATGACATCTGTAATTCCCATTCCAAAAGGGACGCGGAGCGCGATATAAAATGATGTTCGGAAGGAACAGAAGGTAGACACAACTCAGCCCCACATAGAACGTGGCCTTGTCCCACCTGGAAATTATGGTTAATGGTTCTTTTTCAAAATACAAAACCTAAATCTACCGAATTCTAGAGATTACATACAATTTACAATGAGACTCAGTTTGTGTAATGGATCTTTAACCGCCTATGTTCTAAGAAGCCGACAAGGAGGCAGTTTTCTGTTTCAGTCGCCACCCACACATACACAGTTTTCCATTAGACATCAATATTTGATCCATTTTACGTATCGACGTCCATGTAGCAAAAGTGTGCTTAAATTGGACGTCCGATGATTCCGTCTTATGGAATAGTTAGCAGATGGTTCATAAAATAAGAACAATTTACGTCCAGTGGACGCACGCAGTGCGACAACATTAGCACTTTATTTTTTCAATGTGGCTAACTTATGTAGATAATGTAAGTCGTATTTATATTATAGGTTATGTTTTGCCGATTTTTTTCCCAGTATTAAAGCACTATTTGTGTGTTACCCTGGGTCTCGTTGATGTCATTCTTGTTTTTAAAAGCTGGGATGCAAACATGCAAAAACATTTCCCAAGAGTGTTTCCAAAAAGCAATTTCCAAATGGCTCAAAAGAGTAAAGGAAAGGAAGAGAACTTTTTGTTACATTATTTTATATCTCTGTTGTTTGAACAATTGTTATCGTTTCCAAAGTAGCTGTTTTATTTGTAAACATAGTGCAATAAAACAACAAGAAAAGGGAGGTACTTTGAATGAACGTCCATAGGACGTACAGTATGTATGTACGTACATAAATTGTCCATATCGTTGATATTTGGGCTTACAATCAATGGACGTTCAGTGTACAGATTCACAATCGACGGATTATTTTGTAAAAGTTTGTTTGGTTGATTAAGGATGTCTATCATGAGGATCTCCGAAACCATAGAAGATACGACGATAGTCAAATTAAACAGTTATTACCACGCTTGAAAGAAAACCAAAAAAATCCGATTACTTCCGAAGTTATTCCAAAAAAACCGAAATTTGTCGATTTTATTTTTATTTTTTCCTGTTGTAATTTGAGCAGATACAGAAAAAAATCACCTTCTAGGGTTTCGGAGTACCCCACGATAGATATCCTTATCTTCAACACAGTGTATACACGGAGAGATGAGGAGTGAGGTTATATTTTTATGTGCATTAAAAGGATAGTTTGTGGAACCTGTAAACAAAAATTAAAGATTGAAATAAAAATATTCGATGCTGATGCTACAAAAATTACAGCACAGACAAATCATTATGTAAGGGGACGTCTTTATGAAAGACTTCTATGCCCCCGCCTAGAAAACAGCTGCCACCCCTGCTACTTCATTCTGGGTACGCGGAACTAACTGGACAAGGAAATTAACCACAACATTTAAGGAGGGCGGAAGAAGCAAAAAGATGATGGGGGTACTGTGCCACAGAAAAAGATCAAAGGAGGGCGTTCAAATCTATAGTACGATCAGCCATGATTTATGGCTGGGAGCTGAGAATGTTGAGGTAGACGATGGGAACAACAAGGAAAGATAACATTAGGAATGATACAATAAGGGAGATGGGCGCAGTGACTGAAATCTTGAGGAAGATTCGAAGGAGAGGCGAAGACTGCAATAGTTTGGACATGTAATGAGAAGGGAAGAGAGGTTATGCACAATGCCGCAAAGAAGACCAAGAAGAATGAGGAAGGATTGATTTTTCATGATTTCTGTACCCGCTCTCTTCTACTGGTCTTAATTATTTCCCGTATGTTTTTTTGTCATTCGGAGAAGGTTCAAGGTTGCAATAGAGTGGAATAGTGGATCGACGGACTGACAGACGAAAAACAAAAAGGACATACATACAGCTAAACGAATCATTATTAGGGGCATCTCAGTAAATTTCATTTTAAGTGGGCAACGTCTGGTATTTCCACAGAGTCAGGCACGAACGTTTTTAGATTTCCCAATTCCCACCTCTTTTTGATCCGAAAATTAATTAAACGAAAATATAGCAGAACTAATCATAAATAAACAAACGTCGCACACCTTCCCGTCGTCAATTAAAACTTATAAATATGAATGGAGCGTCCCAGTTTTAAAAACACCCCCGCCCCAACATCTATTTTTGAGGCAAAGTCGAAGAGATTGCTGCAACGGTGCAGACTTTCAACAAGTAAATAGAGTGGCATATTAGAATGCAACGAAAAGCTTTACGATTCGTATCGCGAACTTTAAATCTTGCAACGAGGAATTCTTTTGTAACCGTTGCCAAAATTCATAAAGTTCGCAATTTCGAAGGGCGGCGACGACGATCACGCTTTCCTTCCGTGTTTTGCCGCCGCAGGATGTGAGAAGTATTATAATCCGCACCCCGCCAAAGTTAAACTATAGCAATTTAGTTGAAAATCAAATTTAGATGAAAACACGTGCGAGTTTATTTTAAGTATACGTGCGGAAACAGAAAATGAGATTTCATATGGCGTAAAACCTATTTGTACGTGCTCTATTTACTAATGGTATTTACCTGATAAATGACTATAAATAAAAAGGGTACCTATCCAGGTATATTTATGAACACTCGTTCAATTACAAAGGGACAAGCGTTAAATGGAAGTTTTTACTTGTTACGTGCTGATAAAGTGCGAAAAGCAAATATTAGTATGTGCTGAATCAGCCGGAAAAAATTGTTCGTCGTTAATGGTGAACAGTTTCAGATTACACCGATGATTCAAATCAACAGTGATTAATGTATAAGTACGAGTAGACAAATGAATAATGCAACACTCCACCCTTTTGCTCCAAGTTACAAATTCGTAGTTCTGTGTTCATGTGAAGATAGCCCCTGCACATTTACAAAACCTTGCAATTGTAATTAGTTCTGGAAGCCCCCGATAAGTTTCTGGAGTTCTTGGTACATTTTAAAAGAAGTTCCGACAATATGGTCATAAATCAATTTTGAAAGTATGGGGACTGGGGTGGGGAGCCAACTTCACGCTGCTCAGCACTGAGGTACTATCCAGAAATGCAATCGAACTCAAAAATTCTTACCAGAAACGGTCCCAGATATTCATTTTATCACTTGAAATACGAAAAAGCTACTTAATGGGGCTGCCAAGAACTTTACTAAACTTGAACCTGTTTGCGTTTCATACTAGAAAAAGTTAAAATCCTCCATAGTTTTCTTATTGCCTATCAGTCGCCAGTAATAAACTAAACTTCCAGAACTATGAACTAGCGGAAATGTTCTGGAGTCCTGGACCGCCCCTGAACAGTTCTGAAACGGTGGCAAAACATAATAAAACAATTAAAAGTTTTTTTTTATATTCCCGAGAAAAAATTTGATTAGAGGTCCAGGTAGGCCCTTAAGAGTCCTGTGAATATCTATAAGGTTTTGAGTGGCGGGTTATAATAAGAAAGCTATGGATGATCTTAACTTTTGCCACGAAGAAACAAACAAATTTCACGAACAAAGTTTTAACTACAATTACCGGGCAGCTACTCATCAGTTCTAAAGCTTTCCGCAATGGAGTTCTATAGCAAACATCAAAATAATTTACTGTGGCTAGCACAGATACCACCCGCACACCTGCACATGCATGATTCTGTCCTTTTATGTCTAAGAACATGTGTACAAAATTTGGTTTGAATCGGTTCAGCCGTTTAGCCGGAAATGAGAGTACACACAGACAGACAGATCGATTGATATAATCAAGATTTTGTTTGATTCCGATTCCTGGTGCTTCAAAACGTGTACTTCCGTCCAAAAAGTGGGGGGTCATTTTTTACCCCAATGCAATACCACCCTTACTAACGTGCGGGTCTTAAAAATTATCAAAGTACACATGTGAGATCAAGGGGCTTCAGCGCATTTTTGTGTAGCAAATCAATATTATCTATTATCCAGTTTTAACCCCATCATTAATAAGATCTTGTCGAAGGCTACTACATTCCCTTTGTCGGTCCCTGGTTGCAACGTCCCTATTGCCCGCAATCCGCGTTTGAAGTTTTAGCTCCGTCATCAAGATCTTGTCGAACGCAACCACATTCCCTTTGTCGGTACCCACTTCCGACGTCCTATTCACTAAGAAACTTCTGGGCGCTCAAAGTCGATTACCCCTCGAAGACGCGCGCCTTGCGAAAGGTGGTTAATTTCGCTCCTAGGAAAAAAAACAAAATTCCGCCACGCAGAAGTTGCGCTTGGCCAGTTTACATGATCTTTCTGACGACACCGATTTGTAAGTAATCGGACCAAAGCTGTAGAAGAAGAAGGAAAGGACTGAAAAATCTCCACGTTAGTACACCACGCTCGGGGATGACGCCCAAATATATCTAGCCCCTCATCATGTAGCCCCGCCCTTAAAGTTGTTAACCACACGATCCCGATAGGTACATGTACATTCCTCGTCTTTCTACAAGCGTTCTTATACGAACCTGCATTTGCAGCCAGCCAGCCAGCCGGCCCAACTGAGATTAAAAGCTACCTTCTTAGCGCATTTTTGCAAATTTATTTGTAAAAAAAGGTAGCTTTTAATCTTACTTTGGCCGGCTGGCTGACTGGATGGCAGCAAATGCGATTCTGTAGAAGAACGCTTGTAGACAGACGAGGAGTCTACATGTACCTACCGGGGCCATGTAATTAACAAGGACGGGTCTACATTATGTGGGGTGGGCGGCTTCTGGGCGTCATCCCCGAGCGTGTTATACTAACCTTTTTCAATTTTTTTCTATCTTCTACAGATTTGGCTCAATTGTTTTCAAATTGGTGTCGTCGGAAAGATCCTATAAACGCGCACAACTCCTTTGTGGCGGAATTTTATTTTTTCCCTAGGGTCGAAATTAACCACCTTTTGCACGGAGCGCGTCTGCGAGGGGTAGTCGACTTTGGGCGCCCACAAGCTCTTAGAGCTCTAATCGCGATCCCTCTCTCTCATGTCGCAAATTGAAACTCGAGTTATCAGAAGTACCCAAAAATTGAGTACTATTTTGTGGTGGGTTTTTAGCGAAATCCACCAAAATGCGAATTGCGGGTGAACGGGACGTCGGAACTGGGTGCCGACAAAAGGAATATGGTAGCCCCCGAGAAGATCTTACTCATGGTGGAGTCAAAACTTCAAACCTGAATTGCGGATGAACGGGACGTCGGAGGTGGGTGCCGAAAAAGGGAATATGTTAACCCCCGGGAGATCTTACCGATGGTGGAGTCAAAACTTCAAACCCCCCCCCCCAGACCCTTTGCTAAAGGCTCCAGCCACCCCCCCCCCAAACCGTGTTTTCGCTCTTTTTGGCTGATATCTCGCGATCTATGAGGTCTATATGAAATAGTTTTAGCTGAAAATAATTCTCGTGAAATTTCATACAAGGTAGATACTCAGAAGTTAGCCTAGGGGTACCTCGTAGCCTAGGACATTCATAAAAGAGGCGAACATCATCAATTTTCGTGGGTTTTTGCTAATATATCGCGACCTTTAGGGCTAGATGAAATATTTTTAGCTGAAAATGCTCCTCGTGAAATTTCTTACAATGTAGATACTCAGAAGGTAGCCTAGGTGTACCTCTTAGCCTAGGAAATTTATAAAAAGAGGCGAAAATCATCCATTTTCGTGTTTTTTTTTTGCGGTTTTTTGCAAATATATCGCGACCTTCAGGGCTAGATGAAATATGTTTAGCTGAAAATGCTCTTCGTGCAATTTCATACGAGGTAGGTAACTTTCATGTGTGAGGAAATATTCCTTGTAAAATAAAATATTACTATGTACCATTTATTCACGTAAAAACAGTATTTTCATATCAAAATATTCACACATTCATTTATACCTCAACGTAATCATTATCCTCTGCAGATTCCACCTCTTCAGGCCCTTCGACGTCCTCTAAGTGGTAGTGGGTCGTCTGAAATTACCGACTCGTAGTTCTCTTTTATTTTTATTTCATATAGACCTCATAGATCGCGAGATATCAGCCAAAAAGAGCGAAAACAATTTTTTTTTACCAACCCTACGAAGTGGGCGGTGAATTGCTTTTTGACTATAGTAAATGCAGATTGTATCTAAAAAATGGTAGGTACCTGGCCGAGGCGCTGTAATACGGTATGCGGACATTAACAATGGCATCAGAAGTAGAGATGTCAGATAATAATATACCTATGCAGCATCTGCAATAAAGACTTGGAAGGAACCCCAACTTGTACATTAAAATATAAGGAAATTGATACTTTACGTAAAACAGCTAAAAAAGGTAAAAAGAGACCATCTGTTTTTCTGGAGAAGAAATAACTGCTGAATTTTTGGAAAAAGACAACACTGTCAAAATGGTCGAGGGGCACTCGGTACGGAACATGTGTGTGAATATTGTCCAGAAATGTGGAGACGAATGTGAACTGAACATTTTGAAACCGATTCCTCCTGACTTGGACGTTGGACCTCGTGGCAGATGATGCACAATTTGTCAAAGGACGATATTTCTCATGCCTTTAGAGTTCAAGTGGAGTTCACAATAAATGAGAACTACAGTTTCCTCTTGTTATGGTGGGGTACCTACCAGTCCACCTAAAACGATGAACAGTAAATCATGAAAATGATCTTTAAGTAATAGCGATTCCTTCACTCAACGGTAATAGTTATTTGTACAACTAGAGGAGAAAGTGGAGTTTTTCAACTCGGGTTCAAACGCTCATGTGTCAATTGAACGAGAATTGAAAAACAATGATCTCTTCTCAAGTTTTACACATAATTTTTTCTGAAACTATAATCAAAATTGAAAAATTATCATATGCAATATTGAAATTTAACACATGGCAATCTAGATTAGTATATGTTTTGTCATTATTAAGATTAACGCGGCAATTGTTTTTTACTTTCCTCACTCACATTTTCCTCGCCCTTTTTAGAGACGAAAGTAGTTGTTTCTAAAGTAGTTTCAGAAAAATAACTATTGACACCCTCTTTTACATATTTTATATTTGGTGCCCATGCTATTTTGTGGAACAATTCTGATCAGGCTAGTTTAACGAGAGAAAAATTTTTTAAACGTGCTTTTTTGCCAAAAGTTCGTTTTTTCTTGTGATAAATTGTGTAACAAAAATGTAAATGTGAAGGCAGTAATAAAATCCAATTTTGACCATCACCTTTCTTTAGATTTTTTTAAAATCATTTTGAAAACCCTAAATTACCGTCAATTTCCAGATATTTTGTACAATTTACTGCCAGAACGCCACTGTCACACTGTCAACTCGCTATTTATGTTTTTGGCATCCGTTTTTACGTTATGAATGACATCCTCTGCGCTTCCACTTGGTCCAAACTGTGAATTGAGTTAAAAATAATTATTAATTCCCAATTACCCCAAACCGTTTCCACTGTTTAGGCATCGGACCGCATTCGTGTAATGAATCCAATATGCAGACAGACGAATACATCGTTCCAACTATTTTTAGACGAAACGTAAACACGCGAAAGTAAACATACCATCAACGTGAACATACTTAAAATACACATAATCGTTATTCAACTAATCTTGGCAAATGGACGATGACCATCGTGCTTGTTAATCTCTTTCCCTCTGCCATCGACTCCTTAATAGCGGCAGCAAAGCGGAAAAAGACAAATTCACAGCGGTCCAATTTTGTTGGCACTCCCATCTTATGAAAATAGGCCAAAACGGAAAAAAGGACTCACCTCTCCCATAAGACGAATCCATTATCGACGATGGTAGGAACGATCTTCTCGTAGTTAATCTGAAAAAGAAACGGGCGAAATGAATAAAAGGAGTCGGTTTTAAAAGCTCTCAATACGCTCACAGCGGTTGCTAAGTGCATTTCTCGATAGTTACTTCAAAATGTATACAAACGCTCACTTTGATTATTTATTTTTGTGGATACACATGTAAAAGTTTTGAGAGTGATATCGTTATACTCAAAGCCGCCGACGGTTTGTTGGAAAGTGCGATGATGTTAAAAAAAATACCCGCACACACATTTGATAGGGGGTTAACTCAACGTGATACTCGAGGGAAATTCCCTTTGAGAAATTTTCTCGCGTTATTAGATCACAGTCTTGATTTCGGATTTGGTACAGAAATTCTTTATTGGGACCCGTTTGATGGCAATTGAAATTTGACTGTTGTACTTCGTTTCACATAAGGGCATTAACAATAGGCAAAGGCGCTTAAAATATTTTGACTGCAATGTGCCCACAGGCAATTGCCTAAACGCCCAAAGGGGTCCTAGATGATATTGCAGAAATGAAGACATAACTTGCTCCAGATACTGATAGATGTGATCAATCTGAAGTACAGGAAAATTCATCTTCTAGATATATAGACATATAACGGTAGCTTTTATTTTGTATTTACATTTTTCGAGCTTTTGGCAAAAGGGAATTTTAGAAATTTTTTGGGGTTGAGGAAAAAATTTTTCAGTTTTCCAATCCCCAAACATATTTTCCATGCCCACATTTAATATTTATTTTAAATTCTAATTTTAGATGATTAGAACTTGAAATGTACTTGAAGGGAATCCGAAAGGAATATGATGGGAACGTTATGGAAGCTTTAGGAGCAACTTGAGAGTAATTTTAGGAAAAGGATTTTGGCACGCACTGGAGGAGAGTTTGCAAGGAACTTGTTGGGAAATTGAACGGTACATGAGAACAAATTTAAATAACAACGGGTAATGAACAATTTTTGGGGAAAGTTGATGAATTTGGTGAAAATTTGGTAGAAGAACATGAAGGAAGCGGAACTTGAGAGAGACTTATAAAGAAATTTAGAAAACCTTAGGGGGACTATGAAAACAATTTGATGGATTTGACAGGAATAGAATTTGACGGGAACTTTAGGGAACGTAGAAGGAGGCACGAGGAAGAACTCAAGGGAGAGAGAAACATAGAATTTTAGTGAAAATTGATAACAACTTGAGCGGAATTGAATGACAACTATAAGGGATTTTAAGACGAACTTGAAGAGAAGATACGAAACATTTGAAAATAATTTAATAGAAACTTGAAGCGATCTTGGCGAAACGTGACAAGAATTTGAGAAATTGAGGAACTTGAGAAAGCTCAATAAAAGCTTGTGCAGTATTTTATGGGAGCTTAAAATGCACTTGGTTTTTTAAAAAAATGCAGAAGAAATTAAGTGAACGTGAAAGTAGTTTAAGAAATTTGGAAGCATTTCAAAGAAAATTAGGAAATGTTGGAGGGAAGCTTCCAAGAAAGTTGTAAGCACATTGAGGAGAAACTTGAGAAATAATAAAATTAATAAATCCAAAATGATATAAGAGGGGATGGGGGAGAGGCATACCAAAACTGCCTATACTTACACCCCATAAAATGATCCAAAATGCGACAACCGAATTCTGAATTCCATTGGACCACTGAAATAGCATGAACATTTTGGTTCTCCATGTAATTACAATTGGTCTAATTAACGTTCTGCTGTGCCATCAGAAAAACAATTACACTAAGAGAACATAGCCGAAATTTGAAAGAAAAACTCGGGTAAAGAAGGGTAAATAAAGCGAAAAACTGTGCTGTAGAGTGTATCGGGAGCCCTTTCATGGGGTTTATTTGTTTCAATTTTTTTTATTCCGTTAGGGTAGCTCGGTGTTAGATAGGCTAATTCTATTAGATAGCTGATATTCCAAGATTTAGTTATTTTAAATTTATTTTAAGTCAATAATTTGCAAACTTTTTTATTTGCGTATAGTACATTTCGCAAAGCTAGAAACGAGGAGAGTTGTAAATTTGTGCAACCAGTTCGTATCGAAATTTGGGTTTCGGCATAGTGTTTAGAAAAATACGAAGAAAAATGTCGTACAATGACTGGATAAGCTATTTTTTGAAAATTGCATAAGAAGTGCAAAAATTAATAACTTTCGGGCAAAATCGTTCTAATTTCCTTGATCTAAACAGTACAGGATGACAATTCACTGTTGGATCATGTAAAAAGCGACCAAATTAGACAAGATCTGAGGATAGAGGCATCGTCGTAGACGTACATCGAAAAACCTCAGCTAAGCTGGTATGTGCAAATGTCGGAAATGGAGAATGAGATAAATAAAAACCGCAGAAGTTAGGGAAGCAAATGTTATTGCAAAACGAAGCTGAAAAACACCCGTCTGACGCAGTGGAGTCGAAACTCGATTGCGGTATCTGGTTCCCTGGTTCGCATCCAGGTTCGGGCATGGATATTTGTAAATTTATAGTAGGTTGGTGTGGTACAGCAGCCTTGCCTGAAAACTCCCCCACTTAAAATAAAAACCCAAAACAAAATAAACCTGAAACGATGTGGTAAAGAAGATACTGGAAGGAAGGGAACAACATGGCTCAAAGCAAAAGGAATTATGACAAATAAGAAGAAACTTTTTCGCAACCCTAACAGAGATACGCCATCTTCCCGTATCAATATTTACAAAGGGATTACAAAAGCGCAATGACGTCTTAACAAAAATAGGAAATTCTTTAGACCCTGAATTTTTTACATTGTAAAGCACCACTTTTTAGTACTTAGATATAGAGAAGTAAACTACTTCCCACTAGAGGTATGCAAATTCTCAAGAAATAATCCATAGAGAAGGGGGGGGGGGCATCTTAAGACAAAAAATAAAAGTCGACTGCCATAGCTTTGTCTGTTGCAACTTGCAACTTCAGAACTATAGAATAATTCTCCTAAAAGTACTTAAAAATCGCAAGAGTGGATCCGGACGGTTGAACTGACAGACCGACGGACAAATTTTGCGGAAAATATCTTAAAATCAAGAAAATTAGTCACTTTTTAATTATCTATAGGAGGGCTATGTAAAAATAAAGGTTCCCATCGCTGTCTCCGCGAAATTCGTGCAGTGATCCGATTTCTGCCTGTTACAACGTTGTTGCAAGAACTTGAAAAAACAGAGACGAAGCATCCCAAATCGCCGAAAAAAGACTGCCCAAAGGCGTAAGGCTACAACATTAGAATGAGCACCCGCATGTCGCTCGCCAAATCATGGAGTAAAGGTCCACTCAAACGGACGTGGGAATCCGGGAGCGGGAGCGGGACGAATGCGGAATATATTTCTACAGCGAGATAAACGTGCGAACCGCCCCGCGTCGGTATACATGACTGCATATCCCGCTGTATGAATATATCCCGCATCCGTCCTGCTCCCGTTCCTGCATTCACGCGTCGGTTTGAGTGAACCTTTAATCGCCAAATTTGGCTGAGATGCCCCTTACATCCCTGATCTCACATCGAGTAGCCATTTGTTCCCAAAATGTGTGGCCAACGCTTCAAGAGGGGCGAAGAAGTGCAAGAAGCGATCACCAAATTCCTCAATAGACTGACGGCGGGCTTTTTTAAGTTGGTTTCCAAAAGTGGATTACTGGTCAACAAAAATTCGTAGAAAAATTATGCGAAAAATAAGTAAAAAAATCAAACTTTGCAGTGGTGTATTTTTCAGTTCAAATAAAAAATTACTTATAGGTACCAGAAAAAATCTGGAAACCTTATTTTTTTACACAACCCTCGTATACGTAGATATGCAAAATCGTAAATACCTAGCAGCTTTCAGTTTTTTATTATTTCATATGATTAGTTAAGGACATAAGGTCATTCTTGAAATCTTACCTTTGTCCATCTGTCTGTTCGTCCGTTCATTGTGTCAGTTTATAGAATTGCATTTATGCGATTAAAATGGAAAACAATTGGAATTCTTAGGTGAATCATCATTGAAATGACAATAAAAAGTACATAAAACTGCACCTCAATAACACCAATGTAAACCCACTAATTTGGAACACTCACTATCTGTTGGCTAAACTTTCAAGGGGAAAAGTTTCACCACCGAATATTTTTGTTAGCAAACTTAGAGACACTCGGCTAACGGAAACGGGGTTTACGCATAAATTAGGGCCTTGAAGTTCCCCCCAAAGCTCCAACGCCTTAATCGAAAGGTTGACAAAAACGCCTGTAAAAAATTCCTTTCGAGTTAACCACAACACAGAAGATCATTTGGATTTTCCACAGTACAAGAACAAGTTGGTGTAACTGATCATGATTTATCTATGGATTTACGATGGTTATTAACTTATCTTAATTTACATTACATAACTACTATACAGGGAGTAACAATTAACTATGTATGTCAAAAAAATATGGATGGTAAAATAAATATAATATATTGGAAGGAATTAACGAATTTCCCTATGCTTTTGAGTATCTCTTTCTGATTTTGCAAAAGCTTTCCAAAGATACCCACTCCACATGAAGACGCATCTATGAAACGGGGATGCAAAACAAATTATGATCTCAGGGAAATTTGATATTTGAACGTGAAAATAGCGAATCCAAACTGCAACACTTTACAAGACAACGAAAGAATCGATAGATTTCTAATTATTCAGAAAGCGAAAAAGACACGCCACGAGCAATTAAACCTGACCGAAAAAACCCTCATATACAACAATTTAAAATGTAGACAAAAATATGCTTCACATAACTGTTAAATTTGTCTCTTTTCCGAGTGAAATCAGAACTCTCTTATACACATCCTTATTTTTGGAAACTGCAGTTTGTTATATTTAGTTAAACTATAACATTTTAAGTTATGACTTGTCTCATGCCAAACGTGCTTGGTTTATATCTTTTGTGCGGATTATTTACCGTCTATTGTCATGCCATAATCTCTAAAATTAGATGCGCCAATACGTAAATTTTGCTCTTTGCAAAATCTTGCCTCATAAAGTTAATTACAGATTATCTTTAAAAAAAAGGCGTAACGTATTGCAATAAGTACGCTATATTGTGTTTAGGTGTGACCTTCCGTTAAACCAACATTGCACTGCAATGTTGGTTTAACGGAAGGTCACACCTAAACACAATATAGCGTACTTATTGCGATTGCACATCTTTCATCATTTCTCAAGTACACAAATAGAATGATAACGCTATCACACCCATTGACATAGTGCTAAAAAACCGACAAAGGTATCTCTGACAGAAGGTGTTACCTGCATGTTGATGTTGATTGAGGAATTAAAAGGATTTGGTGCGGCCTAATTTACAACTTACTTGTTCGTACCATGGCTCAAACTGCTCGAATTTCTTGTAAATGCAAACGTGGCGCATGGACTCGGGCGGAAGATCCAAATCCAAACACTTTAATGTCAGAAGAACTGTTCGACAAGGTGCGGAGTAGATGGAGTAGTATAGCTTAAGGCTGTTTATAGCTTGGTTTAACATTTTCACTAAAAAGGCGACAGATTTGGACAAATGGCAGCAGCTTACTAAGTTTCATGGAAAGTTTAGTTCGATAGCGTACAAATTGATCAACTAACTTTGTTCGATATATCCACTTGGCAGGAATCCAAGCTCTTCTTTTCTGGAAATCGGGAATAATATTTAAACCAACATCACCTTCTTCTTAGCTACTTATTTCTCGGTCCATGGTAGTTTCCTTGTATTTTGCCAATAAGATGAAGATTGCATGTGTTTATTTTGTGGATGTCGGGAATGAACCTTTTCTCGAAGAAAACGGATCGAGGTAATTTTGTGTTATGGTCTGTGCCATTATGTCTCTCTCTGGGAGTTTTTTCCACGGATCACATACCATCGATAATTTCTAATTTAAATGCCTTTCTTTAATTTCACAAAAAATATTTACAATACACTGGGTTTAAAAAATGGGATGGCTTTAGAATCTCCTAGGACTGGCCGGGGTGTAAAGGCCTCGAAAGCTTCAAAGATTTACAATTCTGAAGACACTGAACACTTTTGAGCATTTTACACGGATCTAATGACTGTGGCGGCTTTAAATGGATTGAAAACTTTTAACTCTCTGGAGGCTGTCGACAATCTTAAAAATGTGAAGGGTTTGAAAATTGTGAAACCTCAAGTTCTCAAGAGTCCGATGACTCTGGGGTGTTTGAAGACTTTGACGACAGTGGAGACCACGTACTCTAAGAACTACATACACTTGAGGTACTCAGAGAACCTCTTGAGACTCTCGGGGCTCCAAATACTGTGAAGGTTCTGAGTGGTTTGAAGATTTTCTTAACGCTCTCGAGGTACCTAGGATTCCCAATATTCTAAAAATCCCAAAGGTTCTGAGGATTCCAGACTGTCAAGGCTCTAAAGATTTAAATGGTTTCAAGATTATAAAGGCTACAATAATCTGAAGAGTTTGGGAAAGATGTTAAGTTTGTGGTTTTTATATCTAGCGGTTCTAATTATCTAAAATGTTCTAAATGCTCTCGAAGCTCTAAATACACTGAGCGCTAAGATTGTAAGGTCCCTTGAAGATTATTAAGACTGTGAGCATCTTCTAGATCTTAAGGGCTGTAAAGACTGAGAAAATACTGAATGGACTTTCAACACTGAAAGGTTTGGTGGTCTTGAAGGCGTTGAAATCTCTGAAAATCTATAAAAGTCATTCCGAAGAATTACAAGGTCTCGAGGCTCTTATAATTTTCTGAATCATTGCCGGGTTTTCAATAACCTGCATGTTTAAAAGTCTGTGAATGCTTTGAAGGCTATAAAGATGGACTGCTCTCAAGTTCATGAAGGCTCCAAAAACTGCGAGAGCGCTCAACATTCTGAATGGGCTAGGGGATCTCGATGATCTAAATGGCTTGAAGATTGTGAAGGCTAAAAATGGAGGTTTTTTTTAATGTTGATGCTCTAATGACTCACTGACTGAAAGCCCTTACGTTCCAGATTTTTCGAAGACTGTAATAACTCAAAAACCTGTAGGTTCTAAGGACACCATTAAAAGATGTAAATCTTATTATAAATATTGTCCCTGGTGATAAAATGCTGAAAATTATTTTTAAATTTTTACGAAGATAAAGAAATGGAGTTTTCTATACATTTTCAAATAGAATGAACATGTATTGTTGCACAAATCTGGAAATTCAATAAACAAAATGCATTTTTCTCTATCTTAGTCACATAAATTTAATTACTGGATTAATTAATTAAAATATATAAATAATACAGCGATCTTTAAATATTACTTGCAGTCACTTTTATACCACTTAATTTATAACACGAGCGCAAATTTCACTATTTTTCACTTCGCTATCCATGTTAAGACTAAAAATATCCACAATTAAATTTGCTTTATCGAGTTTATGGCGCCTCGATACTGTTCTAGAAATATCGTTGCATTCTGAAATAAGAGAAGGAGGTAACGTTAAACATGGTCATCCAAAAACTTTTTGTCGCTGCATAGATTTGCAAGAGCTTGGTACACCAAACGAGGTATAGTTATACGAGAAAGCTTCCGCCTTTTTCTTGGGGATGAATTTTTGTGAACGCGAATTTACCTCGTAACCAGTTTTTTTGAGGACGAAATTTTCCATTGGGGACTATTTTGCAGATTCATATTCCGGTGGTGAAATTTCGAAGGGGGTGGGAGGGGGGACATATTATGTGCTCGAATTAGTTAAATTTTCGAAAGAAAAATATTCCCGAATACGCTAGAAACAAGCGAATTTATCATGTTTTTTCTATCTGTTTCGATTTTTGAATTGCTCCCACGACCCAAATTTATTTTGACCACCTCTCCGTTTGTCCATTACTTAAATAAAAATGTGTGCATAAATAATAATTCTAGTCATATAAATATATTGTATAAACAACGTCCCGTAGACGTTACTTCGATTTGAACACCTCAAATAATGACGGAGTATTTACAAATAAGCACAGAATTGGTTTATTTCATTTGAATTTGTATGTATGTAGTGTTAGTTTTCCTTTCAGAATTGTCTGTAATTGCGAATTGTTTATTTTTAGATTTGTGTCTTTAATTGTAAAATGTAAGATTGCGTGATACAATTTAAGAACATCTGATTAAACGTTGCAGATTTTATAAAAGGTTTATTTAAGTGTTTCAACGAAAAATCACATCTGGCTGATAAGATTATACACGTGTATTACAAACCAAAGCAGGTCTCGTGAAAAAGAAGAAGGGAAGGCGTTCCTTCCAAGTTGGCGGTATTTAATCTAATTGTAATTGGCGCATTTGTGGGGTTCCCGTAAATACATGAGACAAGGTAAAAAAAGGGGCTGTTGTAGCTGGTGCGTGACGGTTGGAAAGCGTACGTTTGTAGTAGGTGTAGGGCTACTTTAGCCTGGAAAAATTCAGGGGGACCGCGGAATTGGCCCTGGTCAAATTTTTGCCAATCAGCTCGGAGTGCAGGGTCAAATTTTGACAATTGGCCCGGGATGCAAGGTCAAATTTTGACAATGGGCCCGGGTTGCGGGATTATGTTTTGGCAGTTGGTTCGGGGTTCGGGATCACATTTCGGCAGTTTGCCCCGGGGTACTTTCGGGAGTTGGCACGGAGTGCCCGATTGCATTGGAGGCTGGATCAACCATCTTGGATGCTGGACCCACATCTTTGACGCTGGACCCGCCATCTTGGACGCTAAAACCGCCATTATGGCGTCATCGCGATACCTGAAATAAAAGGCTAACGCGTAACCATTCGAGCTACGGAAGCTTTAACAATTTTATAGTTATTTATTAGTTATAAAATGCGCAAGACGGTGTACTTTGAACTTTATTTTATATATGAGCCATACTTCCGGTTATATTATGGAATGTGCAAAAACTACAGTTTTTCAATTTATAGAAGGGATAACTTACACAACATGTTAATTGTTATACAACGTTATCGAAAAAAAGTGGACCATGAAGCCGTTAAGTTTAATTTACTCTAGATAGAGAACATTTACTCATCTTAATTTACTCCACAAACAGCCCTCACTTCGATAATCCGTCCCGGACTCACAGTTGCGTCCTCATACGCGAAAACGTCATTGTACAAGACAAACACATTCACCATACAACTCAATCGGTCTACAATCGGTTGTACGCGTCAAGATGGCGCCTCCGCATGCGCACACTTACAACTTCAAGGTCAGACGATACTAAATCTACAAACATCGTTCAAATCCAAAGGTTGTCACCCGTTAAAAGTACATTAACAGTTCAAAGTCCATTCTTTGCCATCAAAGTCCAAAGGTTCCCGGTCAAAGTCCATTTCTCCCCGTTCAGCTATCGTAGGTTCTAATCCCAAAACCAAGAAAAAAATTCTCCCGCAACCACCAAATTGACTTCAACCTATAGGTACCTATAAAATTTTTAAAGTCTACATAGCTCAAAAGGTTACGGGTTATACTTCTATTTTAGGTATCGTGAGTTTCTCCAGCAATCACAGATGACGCCAAAGTGGCGGTTCCAGCATCCAAGACGGCGGATCCAGCATCCAAGGTAGCGAGTCCAGCATCCAAGATGGCGGGTCCAGCATCCAAGATGGTGGGCCCAGCATCCAAGATAGTGGGCCAGCATCCAAGATGGTGGGACCCGCATCCAAGATGGTTGATCCAGCGTCCAAGATAACGTGGGCCCATGGCCCATCTACCGAAATACCCCGAGTCAACGTCATGTTTGTAATTGTTAATCAATTAATTGTGTGTTTATTCGAATCCATTATGCGACTCGCATAGATTCTTTATGTCATATGTTTTCTCTTCGTATCCAAGATGTATTTCAGGTGTTTATAAAAAATTGCTTAATAATGATTTAAAATTGCGGAAGTTGTTGAACGAAAAATTACAAAATTCTTAATTTAAACTTTCTTTATTTTGAGCTAAGTGTTTTGTGGGTGGTGTAGTTGACCGCATACCATTGCACACAGCAATATAAATTAAAAGTTTTTGGCCAATCCCGCTTTGTTTATAGTTACGAACTCATCCATGAGGCAGACCTAAGCTACTGATTACGAAAATAGAATTAGGAATTCCCACTTTCTCGAAGCAGATGAAAAGTGATTCCTGTTATAATTAAAAAAAGAACCAATGTTAATTGTAATTGTAGTAGTTACTAGAATGTTTTCTTTTATATAAAGCATGTGAACCCCCTCAATATTATACAATATTAGGCACACCTGAAATGCGTTTGAAAGTGCTAACAAAATATCTCTCTGAATTTTTGGTACTGCGCACCCCTAAACAAAGACGACAGAAAATAGGAAAATAGAAAGGTGTCCCAACAAGAATTAAAGAATTATTGCCGAATGTCGAAAAATACCTCATGAGGTCTTGAGAAATGTAAGAGTTGCTTTTGAATCAATATATTCAACTATTGTATGGAAGTTGTTAATATGTATGATCTAAGGGTGTATGAATCCCCAATTCCCCACCACCAAAAATAGGAATTACAGGCAGTGTTCAGTGGGGAAAATTGGCAACCGCAGTTTTGGTTTTTTTTCTTTTGAAGCTTTTGGTAATACATTAACGATTCTTGAAGTACCTAATATAGTTTATTATTGAATATAAATTTTCATAAGATTTACTTTACAAAATTCTTTCAATTTTCATTACCAAAATGAGACAATATCAATAGGCAATTGAGAATCGATTATACGGATGATACAAAATGAGTCAAGTTTTATTCAATAAATCTTCTTAATCGGTTGTTTAATGCGATTTTAACGCTTGACATTGAATTGTCACTGGTCGTGCCAACATAAAATTGTGATAAATTTTACAACTATTTCTAGCAATTATTTATGGTCTAAGTAGTTACAGAGCCATTGTTTTTTGGGTCATCAGGCGTCGCGTCGGTTCAAAGCGATTTAGATAAGGCGGAAGTGATGTTTAGGTTATTAAACAAATGCACTAAAAACTTACTTACGTTTTAATAGTGGCATAGGTAATGAAACGGCCGCACTTTTAATGGAAATATGTAATTTGATTAACTTGCAGCTGTGTGGCGATTTTAAAGTGGGATTAATAACATAAGTACAGGAAGTGGGAATGGAGATATTTAATTAGTTCAATTTTCACATGAAAACGAGCCTTTCAGGTGCTTGACAGCCGATTTTACAATTGGGTAAAGATCTTGGGTGTCGGGGATGAGAATGTACATTCCGAAAATAAGTGAACTAAGATCCTATATAAAAATGTTCTATTTTTAATTCTGAACTATATAATTTCGATGTCGTTGAATAAACGTCTATTTATATTTAAAGTTAAATTTAAATTTTTAAATTCGATTTCGTCCGTTGCAATGAAGGTGAGAAAGTTTTTACTCGGCAAAAGTTCTAAACTTTTCAACTTAAACGGTCCTTGGGTAGGTACGAAGTTTGGATAAATAATGGCATTTTTTGCAAATGATTCACTATTGCTTTCGCACATGATGACGTTTCTCAAAAAACTGGCAGAAAGAAAGGTTTTGTATTTATATTCAATAAGTCTCCAATTTTCAAAAAATGACAATTTTCTCGATGCATAACCAGTAATTTGTGGGATCTCTTAAACGTTACCTATGTAATACAAAAATACAGCAAAGATACTTACTTGTTTGTATAAACCCGTACCTAGACCTTGGCGTTTCAACGCACTGGAATTTGTAATTGCAATAAGTTGTAGACTAAACGTCTGATAGATATATAACTGCGATACGATAAATAAAAAAACAGATCTTGAAAAACCGATAGATAGTACCTACTTACAGAATGTGAAAATTCAATCATTTGCCATACGCCTAGAGTCCTGGAATTCTTTGCAATAGGTAGCCTATACCTTGAACTCTATCAAATTGTATTGTCTTAAGTGAGGCAGGGGGGAGGGGGTCATGAAATATTTTTTGAGATACTGTTTTTGAAAGTAAAACGTGCATAACGTTTATATGAGAGAACCAATTGGTCGCAGATTTTGCATACACATGCTTTTAGTGGTGTCAAGTAAAACTTTTACAAATTGGGGGGAGGGGAATGAATACACGTTCTACCCTTCATGGTATTCTAATTTGTAAAACAATAGTTATTATCAGTGCACTTAAAAGTCCCGAAACTGAATGATTTTCGCTTTCAAAGTAGAGTTTTTATTCCTCAAAGAAAAAGAAATTAATTTAATCTTTCATGGTCTTCTAATTAATGGTCTCAACGAAAGGAACCGTTTTCTACCAACTACTGCCCTTCTGTCTGTTCTCTTATCAAAAAACGGCGTTGAAGGGGGGCGGGGACTGGTTTTATCCTTCTAATGAAGGACCCAACAAAAGGAATTACTTTCTACCACCCCTCCTTCTCGACTCCTTATCGTGATCGAATACATCCTCTTATATCTCCACAACTGATTGTCGGAAAAGAGTACTCGCAAAGGGCGATTGGGACGTCTGGAAGAAATATATCCATTGATGTCAAAACTTTAAGAACGAATATCTCGAAAACAGTTAGTCGGAAGAAAGTATTCTCAAAGGCAAAATCTGCAGAATGGAGTATCGGAGGATTTTGAATGTATGGCAGGCGGTCCTTAAATGTTTGTGTGTAATGAGCCTCCTCCCCTTATAATCCAACCGTTTACTAAGCTATTTCGGTTTTAAAAAAATACGCTTTATCTGCACACTGCTCTACTAAAACATGATGTCTTTCGTTCGATCATGGTATTCTACTGATGTGTGTGTTTCGGATAAGTACCGTAGAATGGGGCTACTTGCAACGCAATTGTAACTTGCAACAAAATGTTCCGCGCGCGGTTATTATATAGTCTCCTCCCTCACTGAGGGTGAATGGACATCAACCATGTGCGTGTTTACCTTTTACACATATCAGTAGCATGGTTTGTGTGCAAACGGCAGTGCTGTGGATTGTTTACAAAAGATTTGGCGTCATTTTCTGTCGACTACGGTAAGAGTACCTACTCTAAATTTACGCTAAAAAGCTTATCCTGCCCAGAGCTTATTTACAGTAGGAATTGTCTCAAATTTGAATATAACGTGCTATGATGCTTGGTCTAAAACATGAAATATTCAATTTTGAATTACGTTTTATTTTGGAATTGCCATAGCGAGGTAACTTGCAACATGCCCAAATATTATAAAAAAATAGCTTGGATCTAGACCCTATAGGAATTATTTCAACGAAACGTTGGGAAATGCGTTGAGGGCCATGGAGAATGGAGCTGGAGTGCGGGAGGCATCCTGAATGTTTCCAGGAAGAAAAGACATTTGTTTTCCTTTCTTCCTGGTAGGCAGCCAGCTATTTCCAAGGACGTATTTTTGTTTTTAAAGAAAATGTTTTAGTTTCTTTAATGAGATGTGTAGTTTTTGTTTGTTTAAATACAATAAACTACCTATATTTAACCAATTTTTTTTACTAAAAAGGTTACCCCTACCTAGAAAATAGCTAGATTATTAGTATTTTTTTTAATTTCTTGTAGCAAGTTAATTTATATGAGCTTCTTAATGCAATAATTATTGAAAAAAGACATGTGTTGCAATTATCCACCACCTGGGGTTAACTTGCAACAACCGGTTTAAATAAAATATACTAATAATTATAGATTTTATTAACAATTTTTTTCTAATTCGGGTACTACACCACACCTGATAGTAGGTATGAATACAATGTTAAAAACCCAAGTGAGTTACCAGGGCTGTTAAAGTTTGGCCGCCCATCGAATATTGTTTATTGGGGTCCACTAAACAAATTTGGAAGGGAGGCCGGTGGATCCACCTGTAACTTCCAGTTTGATGACGTCATAAAGTTCGCAATTTCCCTAATTCGGAACAATGTTTCTATCTCAGTAACCACTTGTCCGATTTTCATGATCCTGGGCTCATTCGAAAGATATTAAAATAAGACAGAACTTTTATGAGAAGTGCAAATCGCGTTCCGCGAACGGTTTTCGCAAAATTTGATAAAATTTGAAAAATTTACGAATTATTTTTTTCACAGGTAAAACGTTATTAATGTAATTTACGCAAAACATTATTATAATCTGCTCCTTTCTCTTTTAAACCAAGGTCATTCACTTTCGGGATTTAAAAATATTACCAACATCCCTTCTTGCTCAATTTATTGCTGGAAAGTTTGTCGTAAACAGATCAAGAAGCCAATTTTCAATCATTGCTATCGATCAGAGTCACGAACAAATAAACAAGATAATTAAGGGAAGTGGAGACCTAATTGGTTTGACCCAAGATCCAATATCAATGATGAACTGGTCATTGTACAGTCCCGATGTGTGTAAAAGAGTCGCAGACTTCAAAACAGCCTCAAACGCGCAAGAAGATGTGGACTACGACCTCTTTCACCACGATGAAGGTCTGAAGAATCAGAACGACTTTCTTACTGATGTAAAGTCTATGACTGATGCTATGTTACTGCGCATGGAAATCCATTCACCGAGTTTGGAAGCGAACTCAGCAATCTCCAAGGTGCAATAAGTGAAGATAGGCAATCCGTGGCAAGAAAGTGGGATGATTCAATACAAAACTTACGTAAAGAAGATCATCATCGATAGGACTAAAACAATTGATGTTTCTATAAAGAAAAATATCTTCCATCTGTTCCAAGCACCAAAGAGGAAGAGAACACAGCCACAAAAAATTGGAATGTTAAGAGAAACTGCGTCTGTTCCAGGCAAGATGTACGTAGCCACACAGTCAAAGAAAGGATGCATCGATGAGTTTTTCGCACATGAAGTGCAAGAATTTACCCCTTCCCTAGTTCTTCTGGAAAAATGTACCGCTAAAGAAGTCAGATATTCTAGATTGCCCACATAAAGAGGTTATTGCTATACAGCCTCCCGATGATGTGACAGATCTTCCTTCTGTGTACGATGCAGTTATTGTAGATGGAGGTGCTCTCATTCACTCTGCTTCCCCGGGGTGCTTCAACTTTTGAGGAATACGGTAACAGATGTTTTTTAAAATACATTGACAATGAGCTGAGGAAAGCAAGCAGACTACACATACTTAGTGTGGGACTCATACTAGGAAGGAGAGACAAGAAACGACCATGGCAGCGGTTTTCGACTGAAGATTGGCCCAAATGTTCGAATTTCGAAGTGTTGGTCTACATTTCTCTGCCTTCAAAATTGAGTTGTTTCATTATTTAAACGAAATAGCGATTTCAAGCTTTCAGCTTCCGAATTGTGGTCTATACATCACACATGGCGAATTTGTCAAGATTGACCACGAGGAGGCTGATACGAAAATCGTCTTTCATGTGATAGGTACATGCATTGACCGAGGGAAAAAACAGTACGCGTACGAACGTGTGATGCCAATGTCGTAGTTATTTTGGTTCATCATTTTTTACCCTTCGACGGTATATCTGAAAAATCTTCATTGATATTGGATCAGGAATAACCAAAAATTTATGGAAGTCGAAAAAATGGTGATGTCCTCGGCCCAAATCATTGCATTGCTGTACCTCTCTTTGTCACTATAACAGGATGTGACTCTACATCATCTAGATAAAAAAGTCCAAAAAGTACCTACTTTTTGGACAGTTACCATGGTGATACCGACGACTCCCGAAATCGCCCATTTTTTGCACCAAAAAGTGTGACAAAATAGCGTCTTATTCAGGTGGTGGAGAAAAAATATTTCACTGGTGTGATACAATAGGGTTAGAGAATAAGGGACCTGTCAGATACAATTTGCTATTTGTACAGAACTTATTGTTGCAAAATTTCTAATCTACATTAATATTTCCCGAGATGTTTCCTTATTACTGTATTTTCTTGCATATTATTTTATTAGCAGAGCAGTCCATTTTTTAAACATTTATATACCCAAAATATGGGTGGCTGATGTATTAGAATAACGAATTACATTTCGGTAAGTATAATGGAAGCAATTTTTATTGGCCGGGATTATTAGGTTTAAAAGAGAAAGAAACAAATTCCAAAAATGTTTTTTTGTGATTTACAAGTATCCAAATAAAAAAGGAATTTTTTTCAAATTTTGCGAAAAACCGTAGGTGAAACAGGTTATAAAAATGTTTATTCGTAAGTTACAAATTTTAATAACGTTTTACCCGTGTCACAAAGAAAAAAAATAATTCGCGAATTTTTTTAATTTTACCAAATTTCGCGAAAACCGTTCGCGAAACGCAATTTGCATTTCTCATAAAAGTTCTGTCTTATTTTAAAATCTTTCCAATGAGCCCAAGATCATGAAAATGAGACAAGTGGTTACTGAGATAGAAGCATTTTTCTGAATTAGCGAAATTGCGCACTTTATGACGTCATGAAACCGGAAGTTACCGGTGGTTCCACCGGCCTCCCTTCCAAATTTGATTAGAGGGCTCCAATAAACAATATTCGATGGGCGGCCAAACTTTAACAGCCATGGTAACTCACTAGTGTATATTCATACCTACTATGAATTGGGGTACTTAGTTGGTCAAATTTGGTAAAAAAATAAAAAAGTTATTAAGAAAATAATCTTGAAAGTGTTGCAAGTAGCCCCACTCTACGGTACATCATATTATATGGCACACTTTGCCTTCTTTATCATTATAAATCAAAGTTACAATCTGTAATTCTTGATAAAGATTTGGAATTTGACGAATGAGAACCTACTTTTCATCAGCTACAACTATGCTTCTATTGGGTCTACAGACTTCATATATAGACCA